CATTTACATGCATGTGCAACACCACCGCTTTCTTCTGCTCTTGGGTGGCGAAAGTTTTGGTGTGACAAAGTGGATTATGTGATGCTTTTTGTCGCAAAATATTAGAGCGGAGGGAATGTAATAATGTAACGACCATTTTTATTGAACGGGTGTTCTCGAGTTTGTTGTGGTGATACATTGATATTGATGCATTGACCGGTGACCTTTCCACTCTCGAGAGGCTGGCTGTTGTTGGAACCCCCAAGTTGACTCCATCCAGCAGACACACACATCCAACTTTTGCTGCTCGAGTCCAACTAACTGTCCAACAAAGTTCCTTGGTGTGCAACACTTTGCGGGTGAGCTGAAGATGAGCAGTTCACAAGAGGGTTGAATGTGTGTACAGCAAACAAGAAAGCAAAAACCACTCCTCCCACCAGCCCGAAAATATTTTCTTCTCCCCAACTGGCCCACCTTCGAGACTTTTCTGACAAAATTCTTACCACTATTTCAGGACACATCACAGCAAGGAGTGAGAAAATGGAGGTTTGGTAGCCGTGTAGGTCACGTATATGTTTTGTTTGTTTTTTCCGTCAAACATCAAAAACCGTATGGGATATAGGCAGGGTTCGCTACCCCGGGTTTTTGTGGGTTGGGGTTTTTGGGGTTTTTGTGGGTTTTTGGGGTATCAAATCTCCGGAAAAACCCTAATGCTTAATGGGGTTTTTGCGGGTTTTTGTGGGTTTTTCCGGGGTTTTTGTGGGTTTTTCCGGGGTTTTTGTAAGATTTTGAGGCAGATTGAAACAAAATCCCTTAAACTACAACGTAGATCATTGCTAATTAACTTTTCTGCCTCATCTAGAAATTTTGAGAATTTTCATTTGCGACTTGAATTTCCAAGTATCATTGCATATTTCCAGGTTTACATGTCAAACATGAATTTTCGATGTAATAGTCCAAATCAATGATAACGGTTAAAATTGCATGTTAAAATCGTATATTAAATTAGTTTTTCTCTAATAAATAATTTTAGGAATTCTGGTTCAACCTGCCCCAAAATCTACAAAAACCCACAAAAACCCACAAAAACCCAAAAACCCACAAAAAACCCAAAAACCCCGGAAAAACCCACGGGGTTGGGTTTTTCTACAAAAACCCCGGGGTTTTCCGAACCCTGGATATAGGGCCAAAATTTTATATTGTGGTTTGTGCGAGAGAAAATTACATAAATTCATGGTTTTGAGGATTTACTTTCATGATTCTCATCCTAAATTTTGGTCTGGAGAAAGCATCCAAGACGCCAAGATTGGGTCCCAGGATCGAGTTTCTTTCGTGCTCCGGCAATGTGAGACTGACTGTGAGAGAAGGTGGGAAGGAAAGTGTGTTTATGTAGACAAATTAATGAAACGAGACAAAACTTGTTGTGTTGCTTCTTGTTCGTTCCTTGCTTTCGGACAATAATGGAAAGTGACGGCGGTGCAGTTGTTAGACTAAGCGGTAGATTAATTAACAACTCAAGTTCCCTGGAGAAAGCACCACCACCACCACAGCAGACTTGGTTGGGCTGTAAAGGGCACGGAGCACGGATTAAGACAAAGTTGAGCACCCTTCCTCATATTTTATGTCCTCCAAACCCAAGCGGCGACGCTCATGCATCCATTCCAAAATTTAATACTTCTTTCGGCACGGCCAGAAAATTGCTTTAAAGTTGTGCCGTTCATAAATTGAGTCCGAATTTTATTTTATACGGGCAGAGCACCGTCATAAATCCACACTTATACTCACATACACAACACCTCTTGCTTGGCCACTTTCCCCAGAAGGAGTTGGACTCAAATTGGTGCAAGGTGGTGGTGGGCGAAGGGAATAATGGATCGAGGGAATCGAGACACACGGATAAACAACACGGAGGAAAGTATAAAAGTTCACATGTTTATTTGGGAAACTTTCCCCTCATGCCACATCTTCTTCCAGGAAGACGGAAAAAGATGGTGAGTTTTCAGACAAAAAAGAACAGAGTTTCATCCTCCTCCTCGTCACGGCTTGTCTCTGTCTCTGTGCGTGGATATGTGGGCTTCGTGCTTTCTTGAGGAGTTAAAGTTGGTTGGTTGGTTGGGATGGATCGGGCCATATTTTAGGCTAAGGAATAACTTCTGAGCAAGTAGCATGAGCATGCAACCAGGCAAACTATTCCTCTCTCTCTCGCATAACTATATGAGTCGTGAAATAAGCCAGCTTCAAAATATCTGGGCCGTGTGAGGAGGGAAAGTTGGAAGGAAAGCGAGTTTGTCCCGTTTATGGGTCAGTTAGGCTCATAAACCAGTCCTCTCAACCCCTTCCTCATTCACCAGCCTCGTAAGCCGCCAACAACCCTTGGAAAGTGAGGGGGAGTGGCAGAAGGAGCCGTTCTCTGGCAGGGCTGACCTCCAATTCGGAGTAGGAGGAAGTGGAGACCAAAGGTCCCATTAATTACTCTTAATTGCGTTCATAATCCCACCTGCCAAACCGCAAATCGCATCAATGGTTTGGCTCCATTCGCCTCACAACCACCCAACGTCGCAAGGAGAGGAATGATCTTGGCGATAGTAGCTCAGCCGTCGGAATATTCGTGGCAGTGATAGCGCTCGAGCTGCCCGCTCATGTGCATGTTTTCTCCTATAAATGACTCTGCCCACCAATTTATTTCATGCAAGAAAAAGAGAACGGCAAGGATTATTACAACCCAATTTAGATGAGAGATATGCCAGATATCGTGATTTGTGGTTCACAATCAGCCAACAGTTTTGCGATGAGAGAATGCCCAAAGGTGCTGGCCGTATACATATCTAGCATAACATTACGACACAACATACGTACATGCATATTTCTCTAACAAGTTGTTCTCTGATTCAGTGCAATGGAAAGTTAGTTAGATTTGTATGATTCGCTACCAAAAACTGCAGCCCACGCTCAGTTATTGAGTTGGCCACACACGCTGTCCCGTGACACTCATTTCATGTGATTTCCAGTCCCCACCCATTAACAATAACTGGGATTAATGGAGTTGGTGGGAGTGAGAGAATCCAGTCTTTGATTTACTCGTCCAATTAACAGACTTTGACTTATTATACACGGGGCATAATTACTCGACGCTGCTGCTGCTGCTGCTCTTTGAACCGGACGGAACTGCATGTAGCCCAACGTACGTATGCACAATGACATGATCTCAACACCACAATCGCTCGCACTAAAAAACTTTTTCCAGTCATTCTTTACATGTCCGCATGTAATAATGGGGGAGATGGGAAGATAGTTGGTGAGATGTTCGCCATTTGCATCGATAGTTCCATCCACACCACCACTTTTCCTATTAAGAAAACTTTCCCCCTTCCATGCAATTATGGACACATGCTGCATAAATATATATGCTCGCGATAAAATTACCCATGAAATTACCCGTCCCAACTTGGCGACACATTTGTACAAACAGCAATCACATTTCTCTCTCTGGGGAGAAAGCACAAACTTCTCGCTTCTCATGACTTTCAAGTGAAAGAAGGAAAACAAGTTGGTTTCGTTCGTGATATCGAAACAACAACAGCATGAAGTCTGTCTAGTCAGCTAATTTGCATTACACATTTTTAGCAGAGGCAAATAAGGCTGCTCATCATCACTGAAAGCAAGTAAGCACAAACACTTATGTGTTTATGAGTAGAGAACTTTTTCAGATTTACACACTCAAGTCGGCTTGTGTAGAAATATTTCTGACCACCAGTCCCAAATTGGGAGTCCGACTTCCAATCAAATTCAGATCGATAGTACAGCAAGTGGTTGTATAATTCAAAGTAAACAAGAAAAATATAAGTTATTTCAACGTTTTTCCAAACCCCAATTCGACCAAACCACATTTCGCCTCTGCAAATTTACATGAAACAAGAAGAAAAACAATTTGTTCGTCACTCAAACTCTTTTTATTGACAACTTTCCCCATCACCCTCATTCATTTCGACTGGGTAATAAAGCAAACAAAACTTTCACCACTGGTGCGACCACTTTTATCGTATCAACATAATCTACAACATTTCATTACAGCGGATAATTGCGTGTTGGAGGCAACGAACAAGCCTGGCATTAGAGCGAGAAAGTTACTTTGACAAGGAGCACAGTGTGCCAACTAATTATTCAGCTAATTAATTTTATGGTCAGTTGGACATCAAGATAAAATGTCTTGCAAGACTTACATAAATATTTGCCTTTACTTAACTGGACCCATATTTTATCCTCATATGCATGTTCTTCTTGCTTGAATGTGTGCATTCATTCATGGTTTAGTTTTACTTTGAGTAATCATTTAAGCAATTTTGCAACAAAATCGAGCACATTTCATCCAACAACCGAGGGGCAAATTGCTTTGATTTTATAACTTTGTGCTTTGTAATATGTATTTAGGTAACCATGTTTTAATCCGATTCACCACTGGAGTAGTGCTATGTCAATCCGGATGGTTGAGGTATGACATGGGTGCGTACAATTAATTTCAGGATATCACCCAGTCAGTTGTGAGACATTACTTCCTCACGAGGGCAGAAGCACAATTGTGGAAATCGCGGACCAGTGCGTTATTGTGAAGCCAGCGTTAATCGATGGGTATTATTGTGTGTGCAACAACAAATCCAAACTAGATGGTGACGAATGACTAAAGCAGATATCCAAACCAACGTAGATATATTTAATTTCAATCTGCGGAAATTAACCAAATCCTTGTTATGCTTCAAGTTGATGATACTTGGAAATACTTGGAAATTCGAGTAATCAGGAATTTCGTGCCATAATGTAATCTCCGTTCATACTTGGATGACTTTGTAATTTGCAAATGTTCCAAATTTGCGGAGAGTCGAGACGAGAAAGAGATTGATAGCGCGATGAGCGACTCAAGCTTGAAGCCAGAGTCGATTGAGATAATGGGTTTCGAATTTGAAATCTTCCGTCTCTTTCCATTTCTTCCGTCTTATTCTCATCTGCACCCCTCTTCCTTTTTGCAGATAATGGAGACGGCCGGTGACTACACGATGGAGCTGGACAACAACGTCACCAGCTTTCTCGTCAACGACACTGGTGGCCAAATGCCCAACCTGACCAACCTCACGTCGGATGCGTACTGCAACCCGTGGTTGGGTGAGCTGGGGGCGTGGTACGGGGGAGTGCACGGCTACTCCTCCCTCGTCGTCTGTCTCTTTGGCTGCGTGATGAACCTGCTGAATCTGGTCGTGTTGACGCGGCGAGAAATGCACAACCCGACGAACGCCATCCTCACGGGCCTCGCCTTTGCCGACCTCCTCAACGACCTCGAGTACATGCCCTTCGCCCTCTTCATGAAGGTCCTCGCCCGGCCCGGCTACCCTCCCAAAACATATCCCTGGGCCCTCTTCGTCCTCGCCCACTCCAACTTCTCACAGGTGAGAGCAATTCGTGGGTTCATCTGGGCAGCCGTGCTCTGCTGACCTCTATTTTGGGGACGAAGTTAAGTCAATGGGCTGAAATGATGGAGGGGGAGAGACGGAGACAGTGAGAAATGTGCCACATTCTGTCCATGACAGTAACGGGACAATGGCAACCAGCGTCTTTTTTCCCCTCTCTCCCACGCAAATGAAATGGCGTCCTTTTCGTCTTCTTGTCTCGGATTGCAAGGGGAGAAAAAGTGGTGCAGACAAACATTATTCTTCTGATGCACTTTATTTATGTCATCCACCAGGTTTGTCACACCATTTCGATCTGGCTGACGGTGACGCTGGCGGTTTGGAGGTACATGATGGTGGCGATGCCCATGCAGAACAAGACCCTCTGCACGATGGAGAGGGCAAAGTTGGCGATAATTATTGCCTACGTCTGCTCCCTCCTCGTCTGCATCCCTGTGTATTTAACATTTGAAGTCAAGTGGGTCAACGGGACGGAGGGTGGGGTCAAGTACTACGTCCACTATTCTGAACTCGCCAAAGCTCATGACCAGCTCCTCGTCAATGCAAACTTTTGGGTCTACAGGTAAGTATTAAAGTTTATTTTAGCCCGAGACAGGGCGTATGGAATTCGGTATGTCTGTCTTCCGTCTATGACAGCTTGCGGACACACTACTGAATCGATTTTGACTAACTTGGTCAAAATCTAAATGCGTATACAGATATCCAATAATGTAATTCACACTATTTTTGAAATTGATTAGAAATATCTTAGATTTACAAATGCTGAGTTTTCTAGAAATTTTGTACCGGAGGTTCGAAACAGGGAAACCCACACCGCTTTCTTAAAATGGTCGAAAAGAGTTTAGATTTTGCATGTTTTGACAACTATCGGCAATTTTTGCCGAGAAATCGTTGAATTTGACACAGTAGGTAATAATTGCGTCATATCAACAAAAAATTAGAAGGGAGTCGGACCCTGACTCGGGTTAAATGAAGTCTGCACTGTAGGTTTTATTTTTGGTGAACATACATAAGAGATAAATTATTGTGAATAATAATAACAACAATATGGACTCATTTGCAAGTGAGTAAATTACTGTTTCATTTCGATTTAGCGTGGTGATCAAGCTGATCCCGTGTCTGGTGCTGACGGTGGTGAGCTTCCGGCTGATCAACTCGCTGATGGAGGCGAAGCGGCGGAAGGCTCAGCTGAAGGGCGGAGGTCGTGGGGCGGCGAAGGGAGGCGAGGACGGCGGCGGCGATCGGACCACGCGAATGCTCCTCGCCGTCCTTCTGCTCTTCCTCATGACCGAATTTCCGCAGGGCATCCTCGGCCTCCTCTCCCTCCTCCTCGGCGACGCCTTCTTCCGCTCCTGCTACCTCCCCCTCGGTGACCTCATGGACATTGTGAGTTTCCCATTTTCCACTCCCTCCCCTTATTTACTCACTTTATGCATACTTACTTATGTGGTGTTTCTCTGTCGGACAGGTGGCCCTTTCCAACTCGGCCATCAACTTCATCCTCTACACGGCCATGTCCCTCAAGTTCAGACAGGTCTTCATGGCCACATTCCATCTCAACAAGCTCTGTCCCCAACCGAACACACAAACCACGGCTGTGGCAGTGGTCACCCCCACGAGATCAGCCCACACCACCGTGGTCACCACCACCAATGGGAATATCCAACATAGTGCAGCTGTGTAGGCTTGGATGTACAGGTACCTTCTCTGGTCTCAAGATTAAGCCAGGAGTAGTCAATGTGTCGTCAACTGTGATTTTTAACTCGAACATATGTAATCTTGGTGCTGGAGGAATGATTGTGCTCGACAATTGTAAGAGCTGAAAGGACGAGGCACGGTCAGCACAGTCGCGTAAAAATGAGACGCGTTTAATAATTCATGTTATGCTCAGAGGACAATCTTCAAATAATTTATTATGAGCCCAACTTTCTCATAGTGAATAAGTAATGAGCAATAAGACGTTATGTTGCTCGTATAAGTGCGTCCAATATGCATACATATAATTAAATATGCATCCCGCACTCCCACTACACTCCTTAATCAACACTTCCACTTTTAGTGTGAGAGTAGCAGGGCATTATTCTATTCCATGCACAATAAAATAAATTATGTTTGGATAAAACTAATAAACGTAACCCAATAATATGTGAAGAAACATGTCTAGATTTTATGCGAGAAATAACTAAATTGTATTTTTACGGAATAATAAAAAGGTATATGAACTGAGCAAATTTGACGTGGCACAGTTCCATAAATTCGCATCTTCATTATTCTACTCATGCACAAAGTCCTTTCCAGAAAGTACGTAGCAGATGGCCACTTTGCTAATAATTCGCCCTCGTCGATCTCAGGGAAGATTAGTCTAGAACGGGTGAGAGGAAGAAAGAAATTTCCTTTTATTTTAAGCCCGAGACAAGGGCTTATGGAATTGTCATGCACGTCTGTCTGGTGCACTATAGTGCACGAACCGATTTTGACCAACTCAAATAAAATTCTAAAAGGATAATCTCGACAATGCCTTGGATGAGGTCAAAGATGAGCATGATCGGTTTAGTGGTTATTCCTTCGAAAGTGTGTAGCAAACTGGTTTTTGGAAATGTACAAATTATAGGCTACACCAAGGTTTAGATGTAGTCTGTTTTTCGATTTTTGATCATTCTGCTTCTTTTGCCACTCATTCAAGCCGGTTCAACTAATATCTGCAATGAGAGGAATTGAAATCACGAATGAGTGAATGAATTATGGATTCACAGTATGGCTTCGTTGCTGTGAGTGGAGAAAGTAGCACATCAGTCAGTAACCCAATATGCAGAAATTCTCTGGTGGGGGATATGCCGCGTACGGGACGAAGGATATGAGTGTCTGATGAATCAACTATTTTTCAGGAAATTGGAGTTTTTTCCTCATTTCCGAAAGAGAACAAGCCACCTTCCACTTTCACCACCCAGAGCGACGAGAGAAAGCACATCCACACTTGGATTCGGCCATGATGAGAGGGGAGCACATAGCTCATTGGGATGCTGGTTGTGTTCCTGGGTGAGAACGGAATGATCCACACTGTTGATTTGATACACTTTTCATATCCATCTCCCACCCTGGAACACGGCCGTCCCCGTCCAAATCTACGACAATCTACGTGCTCTCTCACCAACAGTTTCTAGAGACGACGACATGTCACAAAGCGACTGCACCATCTCAAGTAAATAATGAATGCTCATCTACTGTTTCTCAGCACCACTTGTGAGCGAGCCTGTGCGTGCATCATGCATGAACAATGCTGATGACGTCGCATTTGTTATTATTATTTGTTATGTATGCCTCTGCGACCTTGAGCAGGAAGGGAGAGAGGCGTCGCCACCAGTCCTTGGTCGATAAGCTCCTTGCACAAGGCTTATCTCTGCTGCAGTCAGTCAGTCCACTGTGATCTGCAGAAGGGAAGACGTATATAGTGTGAGCAGTAGATAAAAAAGAGGAGTACCTACGTACGCCTTGAAATAAAATCTGCTTTCTCCACGGAAAGCGAGACAGTTGGAATAAAAGGATTTTTGGGTTTTATGACCACGATTTATTCGTCATGTAGTCATAAGTCATGGTGTCATGTTCACGGCGAGTTATCCGATCAGCAGCAGTATATGTAAGTCCGCAGTTCCTCGTACATATTGCAGCCTATGTGTGATATGTAGGGGCATAAGCGAATTGGCGGATGTGTTGGTAGCTTACATGGACATCTTTTAAAGAACGAGCAGATTTAGTTGGGCGACTACTTTCAGGTAAATTTTTAAAAAGTCGACACTTAGCCAGGCTGAAATGGACACCAAAGTGGAGAAAGTGTGGTGGCGGAACACGGGCAGAATAATTTATGTCTCTCCACGTATACTTTGATCCATTAGTGGTCATCCATATTTCAGCTGTCAACACCAGCCTGAAACAAAGTCGGGTGTTATGTAGTAGGTAGGTTCACATATTTGCATTCTTCCACCACCCACACACGCTGGCAGCGAGGTGTATGTGACCAGTTGGTCAATTCGAACATCGACTTTCAAATTGAGTCTAATTTGAAACATTTCCCACAAACCAAGCAAACACAAACTCGGAGGGGAAAGTTGCTGACTTGGATGCAGTTAGCAGGTTGGGAAGACGAGCGAGAAATGTGTGGAGAGTGAGATTCCTGGAGAGAGGCAGCAGCGACTAAATTATCGGTGGTGTTGTCCAGTTCAGGAGAAAGAGTAATAACTCAGCAGCCGTCCCTTTCTCGGTAAATATCCCACAGCTGTCAGTTAACCTTTCTTTTTCTCTGCCAGGCATGGCAGGCGGCTGACTTTCACCGGCTAAAGAAAAATCTGTCCCAATCGACAATTACATGTCGCAATTCAGCCCTGTTTTCCCTTCCCCACTTTGAGGCATTTTCAAGCACAAAAATATTTAATTTGTGTCCTTTCCAGCAGCAGCAGAAGTAGCAGCCGGGTTGATGGAGTCGAGTGACACAACGTGAGATGATGCCTAAAAAACAAATCCCAAACCATCAAAAACATCCGTTCCCTTCGTCTCGCCTTCGTTATACACTTAAAAGTATTGGAAAAAATCGATCGGCTTGATTTCTGCTGTCTCCGCTACTAATCCACGTCAAGCTCTTGATAGTTTTTTTTCAGGTGGTGGGATGCAAAAGTCGGGAGCTGTTTGTCTTTTAGTACTCAAGGAGACTCTGACTCTTTATCTCCTTCTCCTTACCTATAGCATCTCTCTTTGCATGGAACAAGGGCCGACCACCTGCCTGTCCGTGTAAAAGCCATGGATTGCGTAAGAGGAGGCAAGGGATCACCTTATCTTCACCACCACTGCTGCTACTCCTGTTACCATTACCCACCCTTCCATCCAGTATGGTGGATTGGATACAGATAAGCCTTCCGGCTGAAATATCACTTCCTCATTCATCTTTCTCTCCATCCTTCCCATTCCTGTTTTTCCTACGACTACGGTAGCCCGTCCACAACCTCTGTGTATTTCATAGACTTGGAGATAATAGTAATTTGTGGTTTTATTCACGGTTTTCAGCAAAGTTCGTTGGCAAACTGTGGTTTGATTTTGAAATTTCATCATTATATTACCGCGGGATGAGATGGGATGACTTTCTCCTCGCTCACTCCCAGAATGTTTTGTTGCGGAGATGAGGTATATACATACACCAATCCACTCCATCCATCTATGCATGTAATCCCACACTGGGTATCGTGATCTTCGATCTCCATTTCATCCGAGATACACAAGCACGACACCAGACAGTTAAGGTAAACAAGGACAACACGGACGGCACAGAGGTGAAGTGCATGTCGAGCAAGGAGAGCTTTGAAGTGGCATATTTTTTAAGCATAAAGCAGCCACTCCTGCTCCTCCTCCAGCCTTCAACTAGAAGAACTGTACAAGTTCTACAGTTCTTGGTCCGGAAGAATCCATTTCCTTTCCTTCCAGAGGCTGCCTGCCTGACTGCTGACATTTGTTTACGTTCACCAATTGCCATAATTGATTTCCAACACATTTGTTCCCCTCCACGACCTGCATAAGGAACCCTGCGGTGGTCTCTCTCTCTCTCAATTTCACCACCCCATCTTTTCTACCCTTGTGATACATTGATGCTTATTGAAATTGGAGTTCTATCATCAAATGCACACGACGAATAAAGAAAGAAAGCGCAGGCATCCATCAGTGTCACTTGTCGTCGTCGTCGGCGAGAGACAATATGTACATACGACACTGTCCCACTCTGTATGCGGTGAGCGAGTTCATTACTTGTTTCCCTTTTAAGTACATGCATTCAAATTTTTGATGGATACGTTTTATTACAAGCGTATTCGTTCCCTGTCCGTTACACCCATTTATTTCCCACTCCGGGAACAACTCGCTCATTTTGATTAAATAAATCCAATTGGCGAGGTGGGGGGATTGCCTCCCTGCCGCCGTCACTGCTACCGAATATGTAATAAAAATAATGGACGGTGGATGAGATGTCACTTCTGCATCGATATTCTATCCGCACTTATGCATTTCTCACCGTCGTGGATCACATTGTCATCCATCTCTCTGCCGCGTCCCATACTGTTCACATTACTCTCACATTCCGACCTGCGTCTGCTTGTCCTCGTGGAGTGCTCAGTCGTCACTCAATCTCCAAATTCATTTTATTCAGATGAAATGAATATCTCTCAAAATTCCGGTGGTCCTCTCCATCACGTCGTTCATACGAATTTCCATTCTATTGTGAACTGGAGATTGAAGAAATGTCCTCTCGTTCTGTTCAAGTGGAAATGCGATCAATTTATTTCCCATAAAGGAGAACCGGATCAGTCGAATTACCCTCAGTTCTCAGGGTTGATAGTGTCATCATTTCGCGTTTTGGAGGACTGGGCAATTGACACACTCATTTCCTGCATCATCAACACACAATTTGTCCTCGTTTTGCACTCGCCTCACATTCACCCCACGCACGCATCGTGAAATCATAGGTCCACCAAAAGTAAGTAACTGGAGCATCACACTCTCCATTATTGGTTTCCTTCCCACTCGAGACTGGACTTTGGGAGGCAGGTGAGTAAACTAACTGGATCGACATCTTATCATCATCCCTTCCCTTCAAGTAGAAGGAAAATAGATAGAAAATGCTCTCACTCTCTCTCCAAAACCCCGGTCCGGCAGAGTCAGGCAAGCACCGTTGGCCTAGAAGACGAGTTTCTTATTGAGCCAATTGATATCATGAAAATATCCAGTCCAAATGTTGGGGGAAGTAAGCTCATGATCCTCCTGCCTGGAGAGGAGAGTGAGACAGGGAGCTGGATAAATGATTCTCGGTTCATTTTCTCTCTCTTTCTCTTCTGGAATAGAGATCACGGATGACGATAAAATCGTAATGCATCCTGTCCACTTTCCCTCAACATGGCCTAATCCCACCACCACTGAAATGCTGGACTTGGGGAAACACGAGGAATTAATTTCCGTGCCCAATTATAGCGGATTTACTCACACTTCGCCTCCCTTCAAATTATACCTCTGAACTTACACATGTTCCTAATTATGGGCTTGCAAGATAGAGAAAAACTAATTTATCTTTTCGCCCACCAGCCAAGATATTGACGAGCGCTGCTAATTTCGTCAACACTGCTGCATGGGTTGTGTTGCATTGAGAAGGAGCACATTCCGGGAATTCCTCGTCCCAACGGCGAATTTTGACAGAAACCGGAAACATTTCGTGTTCTTGGCTACGAAAATCGGTGTAGTTGGCTCCCAAAAAGAGCACCCTTCCTCGCTCCTCATACATATTTCTTCTGTTCCGGATTTCTGGAAAGTGGTTTCTATTATAACCTAGCCCTCACCCATCCCGTCTCAAACTGCACTTTGGCTTATATACCACATTCATTCATTCGCTCTTTCATAACTCATTAATCAAATCTCGAGGGTTTCGTGCATTTATGGGACACACCGTTCCGTGCGCTTTTGGTGTGGTGAAGAACCTCTGCAACGTAACGACAGTGCAATTTCTGGTCCGAATCGGAGCCTGCTAAGTTAATTGAGAAACAAATGTTTGAATAATAAATCTCGACTCCATAAATATTTTCTCGTTAAAAGACGAAGAAAGTTTCCATTTCCTTTAATTGCTCATTGTAATCGAAAGTAAGTAACAAAAAAGAGAGTGGACGTCGTGCTTTCACCAAGATTCGATTTATGAGACGGTCCTCCGTGCCGAGAGCATTTTATAAGCGATTTATCTTGAAAAGGTCAGAATGTGACAAGAATGTGGCTTGGCGTCGGAGAAGTCCTGGTTTGTGGTAGTGTGGGAGGATGCAGGAAGGGAAACCTTGAGGCAGCATCGGAAGAGTGAGCCAGCATTTTTTCCACAAAAGCCAAACTAAAAACCAGATAGGAATGCATACTGCTTGGGTCTGGGGATGTGTGCTTAGCAAAGAAATTCGCTCATTTCCCCTGCTGCTGGACCCTTAATCCAAAAAAACTCCACAACTCCACGAAAGTATCTTTGTCCACCTTAAAAAGAGGACACAGATGCTGGACAAGGACAATCGGAGCGGAAATTGGGGAACGCGCAGATGGTTGGAATCCCTCATGAAGAAAAGTATTTTTCTTGGTGGAAGGAATGTGTGCGCACACATAAAAGTCACATATTAACAACCCACCAAACAAGGATTGTTCAACGTCCCATTATTGACAGATAGTCATTTCACCAATACAAAATACTTGCAGATGACATTTTCCAGGAGACTCTTTAGAAATGTATATTTGGCAGCACCACCCACGACACCGTCATGCCCTAAGGTTTTCCGATTCTTTTTGCGAAGAATACATGATCCGTCCTCACGGACTAAAATAACAAGTTTAAACATGCCATATTTTTTAGAGTAATGCATTATCCGAAAATCTTTAGTAGTGGGATATCATATTTATCGAAACCTAATGAAAACCATTAACTGGTTGAATTGAGTAAAAATGAACGCTTGGAAGAATTGGGGAAAGTTTGGCAGCGAGGGAGCGAGTTGCTCACGGACGGAGAGAAAGTTGAGAAAGTGAACAAGTTTCTATCTGGTCTGCTGGTGTGTGCACGGCGAGTCCACATTCCCCTCCACTCACAGCGCCACTCTGCTCAATCGAATCAGCTGTATCCCTACGAGAAAAGTCACAACACCACCGGCTTGGCTGACACGTACAAAATAAATAAAAACTGAAAATATTGTGGAGTGAATCGGTATTTGCATTCCGTTGTCGCCAGACAATCATGTCGTCAGATCCGTGGGAGGAATTGCAGGCACTCAAGTCGAAGCGCGATTCGAGAAGGAAACGCCTCGATGAGAGAAAAAAGGTCCTTTTACATTCCGGACATCTTATCAAACCAGAAGTTGCAGGTAATGTTAACTAATATTAAGCTTTTATGGTGTGCAACCTTAAAATGGATATCGAAGAGGTGGGTTGTAATTATAGGGCGTAGAATCATCCCAGCTTATATTAGCTGATATTTGTTGACAGTTGAATAAAGGTTTACAATACAATACAATCATACAGCGTCCATTTATAAAGTTAGTTAACTCAATTACAAATTATAAGATAGGCGACTTATAATATTTACATTTCTTTGTCATTTTTCATAAGCTAGTGAGGGTCACCCATCTGGTCAATATTTTACAATGAGACATCAATCCCAGATAAAAACATGCCTCCAACAATAAAATTGCCTCGAGTTGTAAAGCAAAGATTGACTTGACTGGGTGGTGGAGGTGGATTGTCACTGTCACTAAGATGAGCAAGTGTAGATCTCTCAGTAAATGGCTTCGTTCCTAGACTGTTGATGATTTAGTTAGAAAAATTAATGCGATGTGATTACGAGAGAATGAAAGTAAAGACAAGTTTGTGTGACGATATATTATCTAATCGAATTTCAGGAGATCAGTTATCCGGTGTCACCCCCTTCTCGCTTTCTGACCTCTCGTCTACCACGGATGACTTCGCTCTTGATGCCAACTCTGTTGTAAAACGAGGTATGCGGCAAAATATATAAGAACTTACTGGTCCAACGATGATGATGATGGACGAAATCTTTACAATTTGTTCTTAGAGGACGTTGACTGGGTGGGTAGTTTGGAGGAAGAAGTGCTCTCCACCCTTTCCGACGTGGCCGTCCATTTACCAATGGACTCTCGACAACTTTTACAAACTGTGATCAAAATCATGCCACCCTCACCACCCATTCAGCACAGTCAGATAACCAATTTGTTGTCCAAATTTGCTGTCCAACTTCTTATCAGGTATCAACAAATCAACATCATCTCATTCCATCTTCCTTTCTTCTCACTCTATTGCCAATAGCCACTCAACAAACTTTTCACTCCGTGATGGGATTTATTATTGCGTAGCATCGAAGAAAAAGTGTGCGATGAAGGCACTTATCTGGAAATTGTCTCAGCGGATCATACCAAACTATCGGCGATGATTGCTGCGGGTGGTCCAACTTCTTCAACTATTTCTACGCCAAAAAAACGAAAAAGTACGTAACATACATAATAGATCTTATAAATGCTTATACAGTGTCGCGTCCATTGTAACTTTGATGATGTTTCAACAAAGAATCCCTTCGCTCCATATCATTCTATCGATAGTTTTTCAACAATTAATTGATTCTGTCTGCCATTATTATATTATAATATCCCTTCATACATTTATACCTTATATATTTTCTATTAGCCGAGGAAAGTGGAAACGACGAAATTGGCGAGTCCTTCGGGAATCCCTTGCACAGAAATATGACAGGCTTGGATGACAAACCAAAAGAAGACGATGTTTTGGTATGTCCATTTTTTGCTCAGAGAGTGATTGGAACGACGAAAGAGACGCATTTGAAAAGCCATATATATACCATTTTCTTCTTCTCCTTTCATATCACCCATACATGTATTCAGAGTCTTCTGTCATTGGCATCCACTCGAGAGAAGGAGAACAAGAGGATTGGGGAGGAAATCTTGGAATTACTCAGCCGACCTTCAGCCAAAGAGAAGACACTCGCAGAAACGTTTCGATCTCAAGGGGGCACCGTGGTCAAGGTATGGACAATGAGAAACACATCGTGTTGTAATGGTCAACATTTGAATTTCCTCTAGGAATTCTGTCCACAAGGCACGAAAAGCGAATGCCGTCGCGTGTCGACCAACAGCAAACCATGCTCCCGGCTCCACTTCAGGAAAATTATTCAGGGACACACTGACGAAACCCTTGGGGATTGCTCCTTTCTGAACACTTGCTTTCACATGGAAAGCTGCAAGTGAGTCCACATTAATTTTTGACGCAGTCAAACATTTCCTTATCCTTTCTCAACTCCACTTGAAGTGGACCACTTCATGTCTGTTGGAATTGTGGTATTTTGTGGGAAATACGTACAACTGCATACTACAAGCTTATATTAAGGATGATGGAACATGCAACCCATCAGACGGATGATGTTACAAAATAATTCAACATACCATATAATTTAACAATCTCTTCTAGATACGTTCACTATGAGGTGGATTCTGCCGTAGAAAACAAGAAGGTTGCTGGCAGTAAAGAAAATGAGACTGCTACCTCCAACAGCAACCTAGACGTAGTGGTTACGGAGACGAAGAGTGTCTTATTTTCCCCACAATGGGTCTTTTGTGACCTGAGGTAACATTTTAGGACATTTTTCTTCTTCATACGTAGGTGTTTTATTATTAATTTTCAAAAGGTATGTTCCGCACTGTTTCTCACCAAAATTTTGATGAAAGAACAAACTTCAAATACATTTAGGAGGCTGTGATTTTTTTCAGCTCTGTGGGTTAGCATAAACACTAGCAATAAATCGGCAAACTTTACCTCGACGGAAAAAATGCTAGATTTGCAAATTAAATATCGTAGTGTGATTTAATTTTTAATGCTGGATGGGCAATACGTGTCGCAGATTTATGATTGAATGCTTAAAATTTACGATGAAAACTGCCCAACACAAAACACAAATTCAATTGGGTTAATAATTTTAAATGATGGCGAAACGAGGTCTCGGGCAAAAAGTCGCCAGGACGCTCAAAATCCGTTTCTTCCACAGAAAGGCTCCGGAAACTAGAAGAACCAATAATGAGAGATCCGCGATTGAAACTGTCCTATTTAGCAGATGAGATGGGTGTTCCAAAACCAGCAATTTGTTCCATGTTAACTGAAGACTTAGGTATGAAAATGGATTCCGTCCGTTGGGTACGAAAATTGCTTTCGGCATCTCAAAAACATGATCGAGTCGACTTTTGCAATGACAATTTTAACCTATTAAATGAAGACTTGAACCTGCTCAATATTTTATTAGCTAAATATGGTACCTGAGTTTACTATTATGACCCGGTGACCAAATAATAATTCCCTCAATGGAAGCAGGAGGGGTTGCCACCGCCCGAGAATTGAAATGTTCAAAAATGTGACAAAAAATTGATGATGACCATTTTCAAGGATATCAAAGGTGCCCTCCTTATAAAATTTATTGCTGGAAATACTACAATAAATGGGGCCGCGTATGCAGGTACCCAGAAGGAGCTGCGTCCTCCGGTTGAAAAGAAACGTGGGGTCAAAATATAGAGTTGGCCTTTTTTTAGACGACAACGCTCCTCCTCATGTCTGGCTTTTTGCGAGGGATAGTGCAGACGAAAATCGCTTTACCTGCACAAACCACACCCCGTGCAGTTCAGACTTGACCCTTAGTGATTATTATTCGTTTCGAAACTTAAAGAAAGACATCAGGGGAAAACGGTTTTCGGATGATAGTGATATGAAGTCGTAAATTTTGGCATATTTTCGAGGTAAATTTTAATGGGTTATTGCTAGTGTTAATGTTAACCTACAGAACTGAAAAAAATCACAGCCTCCTAAATGTATTTGAAGTTTGTTCTTTCATCAAAATTTTGGCGAGAAACAGTGCGGAACATACCTTTTGAAAATTAATAATAAAACACCCACGTACTTACATAAGTGTATTATACATATAGTTTATAAATATGTATATATATTTATAAAAATAGGTTCTTTGACATGACTATCTTGGGCAAGTTTAGCGTGATAATGGCAGGTAAAATTTTGTTAAATTTTATTTCGAGCAATGGCCAAACGGTTATAATTTAAAATACATTTTATTTTTATTACCTTTTCGATATGGGGTCATGCGATACACCAATTAATGGTCTCAGATCCTCCTTGGGTAAAATGTCTTATTTGGGATATGAAGTGCAGTGCGATACATAAATGCATAAGTTTCATACATCTATTCCTAATTTCTAAGGACATTCACATGGAGTTGCCATATGGGACTCTCTCAGACGACGAGATGAGACAATTGAACATTCCTGCATTACAAGACGAAGGTCTAATATTCCTCTGGGTAACTGGCAGGTATGGTAGCATGGTATATTTTCTGATGGTTGCCTTCTTACTCTCCTGTTCTGTTCCACTATTTAATCACTCACTGAGTATCCCATAACCATATATCCGTCTGGATCTTTAAAGTTATTTGATGATTATGAGAACGACGAAATTGGCGAGTCCTCCGGGAATCTTTCTTTGCACAGAAATATCACAGGCTTGGATTATGATGATGAGATTTTTTGTATAATATGTAGGGCTATGGAGCTAGGAAGGGAGTGTCTCGAGTTGTGGGGCTACGAAAGGGTGGATGAACTTATTTGGGTCAAAACAAACCAACTGCAACGAATCATCAGAACAGGAAGGACAGGTATACTATTCTGTTTATATACTACTTGTGGTCAGTCAGTGCCTGCGTAATATGAAGGTGGTATATAAATATAAATTATACAGTAAATTCCAGTAACTTTACCACAAAGTCCTTAATAATTAGAATAATGATTATGATGATGAGTTGACATTTCACTTTCATGTTCCTCATCTACCAATATTATTAAATTTAGGTCACTGGTTAAATCATGGCAAGGAACACTGCTTGGTGGGAATGAAGGGTAATCCGCCAGTGAACCGAGGTCTTGACTGCGACGTGATAGTGGCCGAGGTGCGAGCAACGAGTCATAAGCCAGATGAAATCTATGGGTAAAAATGATTAACTTTTTTGCCGGTTACAATGAATATAAAATGTTTGAATAGCAAAGAACTCTTACATCCATTGATAACACGTTTACCATAAACCTTCTTTTTCATAGGTACTTTCTCCAATTATATTTCTTTTTGTTTATGCAGCATAATCGAAAGACTTTCTCCAGGCACAAGGAAGATTGAGTTGTTTGGCAGACCCCACAACATTCAGCCCAACTGGTACATACATATTATACATATCCATGTAGTAAAGTTATCATAATCAACTCGTCTCTGGTCGGAGAATGACATCACAATCCTATAAAATGATTAACCTCTTTAAACAATTCGATACAGGATAACTCTGGGAAACCAATTAGAAGGGAGTCACATCGTGGATGACGACGTACGTGCAAGATTTTTTGAACGTTATCCAGGTGGAAATTGCACGCTGGTGAAGCCCAAGTAAATCAAGACATGAAATGACCATGTTGCAGACTTTTTCTGCCTGCGACAGGAAGACATACACCATCGTCGTAATTTAATAAATAGTTTTCTCCATTTTTACATATTATTACTAAGTAGGCTGTTTTTATCAAATGATGCTGTTAATGATCTCACAATAGTATTGAAACTCAATATTCATAATAAAGATATGCTGTAGAAACACTAATTTTTTTATTAGTCTTGTTGCATTCATTTTTGACATGGTCAGCATAAAACGGTATTTGTGTGTATAATAATAAAAAAGCCTCGTATTTATTTAAAGTTTGAGGGCCATGTGTGTGTAAATATACTAAAATTGTTTAAACAAGTCATCAGAAATAGTTTTATAGTAATGTACGCATGCAAAGTAAATAATAATTCAAATAATAATTCAATCCATGATTCCTAGGGCAAAATATGACATTTTCGTACAGCATAGTAATCAGGCAAAGTATAAAATAAGTTGTCCATCAGTATATAATAAATACACGAGTCAAAAAAGTGGTACAGAAAAGCATAAATGTTGGGCGCAATACATACAAAATGGAATGCATCGTATCTTCGTATCGTATTACGATTAAATATATAATAGTAGGTCAACGACAATATATGTAATGGAAGGCACTACTAAAACTAGATTATCAGGAAGAGCAGCAAATTGTCCTCCCTGCCTAATAATTCATTTCTTGTTGTGGTCTCTACTGCTACTACCAACTATTAAAAAAGTCTGACAGTGCACAAATGAAGGCAAATGTTAGTATTACTATTATCATATTCTTATTACATATTAGTATTTTGCTCAATCTTGGAAGAATGTTTGGCTTCCAGTCTACCACAATTCGTTAAGGTTATCAAGGTAAAATGTGAAGGTATATGTTATTAAAAAGGCAGGATGGTGGAAGTCACGAATGTGTGTCATTCCCCCGTGCGTGGTCCAAAACCGTCATCAATTATCACTTGCGTTGACATGTTGTTAGTATGGTTAGCGTACAACAGGTGCTATAATTACGTGAACAACTGCTAAATAAAAACTCATCACATTCGTGTAATTGGGCATTATAAATATTATGTGCATGATGACGTTCAAAAAATTATTAAAAAATTTGTGTCGCCGTCGATTTGTTCGTTTTCTCATGTTCTGATTGAAAGCTCGCAGTTGGTTAATTGTAATTAGGCCATATAATGGCGAATTCATTCATGATGATTGCTAGATTCACTATTAAAAATTATTAATAGGTTTTAGTATACATCATAGGTAAACTTATTAAGAATAATAAAAAACAAGACCGATGCATGGCGATTTTTGATTTCAAGGAGACTACACGGTGTATGATAAAAGGTCTGACTGGTGTCTTGATTGGTGGTTGGTTAAAAATAATAAACATCTTCCAAATTCCACTAGCAGCGCAAATATTGTTCAATAAGGAAGACGAGTCCATCAATTATGAAGAAGAGTGTACAGGTACTACTAGTACTACAACAACCGTGCCGTGCATTTGTAAATTTTTACACTTTCACTCCTGTCTGTCGACACTTCATTTGGCAAATCACTGTTCACTGACTGACGATATTATATATGGAAAATTAGCTGGCTATTATTTAATCAGCAGCGGTCGGTAGCGCACAAGATGACACACAAATGAAAGTTATTACAGGTGCAATTCATCTCCTGGGTTGTGATTACTGTTATGTGCTGGTGGGTCATCTAAATGAATTCCAGTCAAGTCTCGTATTTCATCCACATCGTACCTATCACAATAACAAAATGTACATCAGGTAAATTTAATTTAATGTGCGAATTGAATAATACTCCTTATGTAGAAATAATAAGTGTATTTAGCAATAAATTACTTGTCATCATCAGAGCCGGATTGTTGTGAGCTTGCTGAAAGATGAGAACCCTGTGACATTTGTGAAGTGCGTGTAAGTGAACCCCTTCGAGGCATTGAATTTTGGTAATTGGCCGGTCTGCAGGTAATGCTGGCAAAAGTAAAAAGAATAGTGAGTCAATTTAAGACAATGAGATTGTTCTCCAAAAATTCACAGCAAATGAGACTGATAACAAATAAACCGATTTTTTAAAAAATTATGTACTAAAATTTGACCTTATAAGTGCTTTCTTACATCAAATTGGAACTATTGGCCACCATCATATCCGTCACTGGAAGGAATAAAATATAGGACGGTTCATCCAATGGTTCGTTCAAAATATAAATACTGAAAGATGCCACCCGTATATATGCATAAACAACGAACCTTGATCCAATGTCTTTCCTGCTACTTCGATCCCGTTTACTTCCAACACCTCATCATTTACACCCAACAATCCTGTTGACTCTGCGTTAGGTATTACGAAAAATGTTGAATTAGTAGAACAGTTGTATTAATTGAAATAGGCTTCATAATCGGCCTTTTTTATGATTTAATATTACTTGATTTTTCGTGTAAAATTTGATATCACTACTTTCCGAAATATCTTAAACTCACCTGCTAATCCACCGGGCACCAACCTATTTATAATGCGATGATGATGTAAAATTATGTGGACAATTTAATTTTGAATAAATATAATGAGTATATTAAGTAACTAACCTTGATATAAAAATTCCAGGCACTTTCTCCAGTCCGTTTGTCGTAACTCGTATCGATGTTCCATCCCTAATGTAAAACCCTAATGGTTTGTCAGAATTTTGGTGTTTTAATAGTTTCACCCTTCTACACGTTTCAGGAACAATGTCAACATCAATTATTGCAGATACTTGACGAAAATCTTGCGGATTTGAAATGGTAGGATGTGTCGTGATTTTCTGTCTCGGCGTTAAAAGGGAAGAAATCAAAGTCCGATTCCTATTGTGCATCAAAGTCCCTCCATTGACGTCAGGAGCAGAGGTGCCTTTCCTCTGAATGAGGACGCGGAGAAGAGGTCTAGCATTTTGAAGAGCGAGCGAGAGATTGTCGTCGTTATTAATGGGAAGAAGGTCACCATCTTTAGGATCTGTATAACTGACAAGAAATGGGATCTCTTCAAGGTGGTGGAGTCGTTCGAGCAGAGATCGAAACTCTTCAAAGGTCGCTTTCGATGTACGATCAACCCCAAATCTTCGAAACTCGGCTTCGAACTGTAATTGAAGAGAATAATGTAAACTATACTTTTCTCGAATCACCACTAGCGGACTGCAAATTTCAGCAATAAACAGTACAAGACGGCATAAACATACCTTTGTTTTAACTTCGACGTGCGAACTAGAGCTTCTAGCTTGAATCTTAGTTTTCGACATTCTTTGGCATACTCTTGATAACTACAAATCTTCTTAGTGAAAAGGATCTTGAATTAATTAATTCTCCCTTCTGGACAGAGTGCAGCTGCTTGAAATCAATATTCAAGACTTTCTCCAAAATACTAAAGCCAACCTAAAAATGTAAAAAATATATAAAAAAAAAACATTAAAAGAATACCTATATAAACACCTGCGAAACATTTGTATTTTACTATCCAACCAAGAGAAATCTCTACACACCACAATCAAAATTTTCACAAAATGACAACCAAAACAAACAATAACTACAACAGACATATAAATAAGTTTTAAATAATTCACTTTTCTGTTCACCTACCACCACCACCACAAAACAAACGCAAAGGCAATCTCCTCATCAATAAAACACATGCGTACCCACCTCGTTCGTATTAATTTAATTAAAGTTGAATTTCCTTCGTTCGTTGGTGATGAAGAATAAATGTCCGGCCGGAGGATGATTTGTTCCTTCCTTCCTTCCTACCTTATTTCCGTCAGTCAGGTCAAGCCGTCCATCGGAGCGTGTCGAAAGGGGTGGCTGGTGGTGGTTCAGTGAGGCGTTAATTTAGTTGAGGCCGAGAGTGAAGCTCTATTATCTAGCTAATTGACGACGACGATGAAATGATGATGATGAGCAATGGACGAGGAATGCTGAGAGAAATCTACTATATGTAACTTTGCAGTGGCAGGTGAGTGGGGGACATCCACCGCACTCGTGAGGCATGGGCGACAGGTCGAAGGTGTGGACCGTGGGGCTGAGGGTGACGGGGGGTGTGGTGCGGAAGTGGTGGGTGTGGACGGTCCCAGGGATTACGAGTTTTAAAGGGTGGCGGGGGTGTTGTGGGTCGAATATATGCCCAACGGTAGTGCTTTATTCGTATGAACTGGCACCCCGAGTTCATGAACTTGCATAGCTTTTGTTTGTTTGTTTTCTTCAGTGCGTTCTGAAGACATAACACTGTGGGTGTTACTTATCAATAGTTTAATTACATAATGTAATTTACATTATATAATGAAGTTTTGAGTTTTACACGTAAATGAAAGCAATGCTTTATCGGTTCGATTCCACCAACCTGATATGCACATTTTCATCAAACTTGATTCGAAGGAAAGAAGTCACAAGACGCCGAAACCGCGGACTCAAAGCCCCAACTTGTTCTGCGACTACGCATTGCATGCGAAGAGATGAGTGGACCTGCTGCTGTTCTCATCTCAATATCCCAACAACCATCCGTCATCATCACCCTTTTTTCTCCAGCAGCCAACAACAGTCAGTCTGATACAATAACAGCTTTGTCACGGCCAAGGAATTATCAAAGAATTATTCTCCAGCAGTAAGTGTAACTCCCTTCTCATTATTTGTCCATTGTCTTCTCCTACGTCGTCATCGTCATCCTTCGCCAATACTCCCCATCAGCCTGTCCTCTTTTTGTGAGAACATTTTATGATTTTCATCAAGGTGGTTGGTGGTGGTGCGCAGTTGTTATATTTGTATTTCAGTATTGATTTCGGGTCATTTTATATTTGCTTCTTTGTTTTTGGTCTTCTGCTGTCTGTTTACTTACTTTAACTGAACACTTTCTGCAAACAAACAGCTGAGCTTAGTCCTCAAATATCCTCAAATATTGGAAATACGGAAAGCTGGGTTATTTAGATGTAGTACAGGCTTATCTTTATTACAGTAATTACAGTAGAGTTTGTTGGTGTGCTTACAGGTCAAGTCACAAGCCAAGCAGTTGTTCAGCTCCTCTACACAACGCCATTAATCGCGATACGAATCTCTCCTTATTCATCTTCTAGTCAGTTAGTGGTCTTGTTTTGTCTTTGCGACACGACAAGGATAATTTTTCTTCACAAAACGTTCTTATTATTGAGTGATTAAATTAACAATTTCAAAATGTCGTACGCCTACCTCTTCAAATACATCATCATTGGAGACACGGGTAAATAACCTTTGGTGCAATTTGTATTTATAAAATAATGTGTATGTTAAACATTACGTTGCATGAAATATTTTGTAGGCGTGGGAAAGTCATGTCTCCTTCTCCAGTTTACAGACAAGCGATTTCAACCAGTCCATGATCTAACTATTGGTATGTAGTAACTTAAAACAACGCCATATAAGCTAAAGTTAGTATGAGAAGTAGTTAAAACTCATTACTTTTTAATTTTCCCTACTAAAGGTGTAGAATTTGGTGCTCGAATGATCACAATTGATTCGAAGCAAATCAAATTGCAGATTTGGTAAGTTTAGTTCAAAATACTTCAAAAATTGAAAATTTTGGATGGGATTAAACGACAAAATTAATCCCTATATTGCAGGGATACGGCTGGACAAGAAGCTTTTCGTTCGATTACACGGTCATATTATCGTGGCGCTGCTGGAGGTTTGTTAATAATCTTTTTTTATTCATATGAAAATAAGAATTGCAAAAGTATTAAGTTGAAAACTGTTTTAAACATTAAACATTTTTATTAGCTCTCCTTGTGTATGATATTACTCGACGGGACACATTCAATCATTTGACTACTTGGCTAGAAGATGCAAGGCAACATTCCAATTCAAATATGGTTATTATGCTCATTGGCAACAAAAGGTTAGACGGATTGCAATATTATGACGATGATTGGCAATAGGAAGTCATTTTTTAAAATATAAATATCATTTCTAGTGATCTGGAATCGCGGAGAGGTAAGTTAACCTTAGCACTTGACTTGCCATACGTATTGTGACTTAATAAATACAAAACAAGCTTATTACGTATAAAACTAAAATGGTTTCTCTTCGTCGTTTTTTTAGAAGTCAAGCGTGAAGAAGGCGAAACCTTCGCCCGTGAACATGGACTAATTTTTATGGAGACTTCTGCAAAAACTGCAGCCAACGTTGAGGAAGCTTTCATTGGAACAGCCAAGGAAATTTACGAGAAAATTCAGGAAGGTGTATTTGATATCAACAACGAGGTACCCATTTCTCCTGCATGCATAAAGTTTATTTTTGTTACTTTTAATGGTATTCATCTTTCGAATTTATTATTCATAGGCAAACGGAATAAAAATTGGTCCACAACATTCTCCAACAAGTCCGACCAGCCCGTCTGGAGGGTTGGGAGGTAGTCAAGGTAGTGGTTGTTGTTGAAAATTGGCAGCATTTTTTTTAGCAAATTACAACAGTCACCCACTGCCCCTCTGCCCCTATATATCCTCCTACGTTTATCCAGTCTATTTCGTCCCCATATTGATGGATTGCAAATGATGCACAAGAAGAAACCGTATAATGAATCCACCCACCCACGACTCTTTTTTAATCATCCCTAATTTGAACTTGAAGTAATTTATCTGCTTATACGTTACACCACTTTGTATAATCATTGTGAAGGTAGTACCCATCCGTCTTATTTCGGACAAGAGCAAAATGCGAATTTTATTAATATTATTATAATGGAAGATATCAATACTATCTGTTCTAAAGAAAGGAGATGAATTATACGCCATTGTATTATTTTACGACGCTGCTGCTTATGTACATTACACATTTTAAGAGTCATTCATATTAATATTGTGGATAAGTTATATAACATTAGAAATAATTTGTTCTTATTCTGAGCATACGTTGATTGTAATTAAAAATTTGAATTGGTCGCCTTTCATTCTTCTTCCTACATACTCTTATAACATTATGATATAATCTATCTATTCTAACTATTTCTAACAGTTTGAGTTTATAAAACTATTAATCGCGACGTGATATAGATACATAGCTTACAAACCCAAGAAGAGGCTCGATCGATGAAACCATAAATTATTGCATTAGTTATTATATGCTTTGGAAAGTTTCACTTCTGAGTTCTAAATTTGATACATACAAATATTAGCTTATGAATTAATACAAATTGAAAATTGAACCAAAAATCTAGAAAGGAATAATTTTGACGTGATCTTCCCAAACTGTAGTGACCATGTCTTTAATCTATGCTGTAATAATTGGTAAAAAACGAATGAGGAGATGATGCGAATGAATAAATAAAGTGCTTTGAATGTATGACGTACAACTAATCTTAAGCTCAGTCTACTTTGTTTTCGATATCAGCCAGATAATGCTTAATAATTATGTACACATTTGCTTGTGATCAGAGAAGTATTATAGTGGCAAAAGTTACGGACAACACGAAGGACAGGAAATGTGCTGTGTGTAGATCTACGAAAGAGTGGACTGAATGTGATGTAAATAAGTACGGAAACAAATGGGCAAACCATAAAATTAAAACACGTTATGAGACTTTTATTTTCTTTTAATTGCATTCAAATCTTATCTCGTACATCGTACGTAGTGTCAGTCGGCAAATATAAGTAGGACTGCATACAAAGAATATTCTAAATAACTTATTAAATTGCATAAATAAATTCAGTTCAATTATTTAGTCTTAGAAAGTACTTAGAGCAACATATATGATTTATAATTATACAGATACAATGCCATTCCAGGCCATTCCGATGGCGTTCCAATATTTCATAAAATACACCATTTTGCACTTGCAAGCACGACACAACACAAAAATCATTAATAAATAAAACTTAATCTAAAACACGGTATACATATTATGTTAATATCTGGGAGATTGACTTTGCTTCGCTCTTCTTGGGAATCCGGACTTTTCTCCACTATGTGGTGGGGTCAAGAGACCACCTTCAGAGTTGGTGTTGAGGGGACTGCATATTTTACTCGTTGCAAGGGCTTCAGCGTCATTCTATATACAAAATACATAAAAATATATCTTTACATGAGAAAATGTTCAACTAATCAAAATATATTTCAAATATCAATTAAGCTTGACTCTGCTTACCAGCATTTCGAGGGTGACACAGTGGGACTGAATGAGATGGCGACTTTCATCGCTAACTTCATCAATTGCAGGGAGCACTGGGGGGATTTCGTGGCGTCGCAGAACCGTAGCTAAAATTATTGGTATTACTTATAAGATTCGAATTTTAAGTGGAATTGTAGGTATTTATGTGTAGAGGGATTGTCTTACCTGCCGGAGCCATCCAGTTAACGCATGTTGCAATTTGATCCCAGCTAAACCCGGAAGCCGATAATGCGGCGGCTCGTCCTAAAAATTGAAATAATAAAATAATTTTTATTTCAAAATACCGAATAAGACAGTTTCGAAATGGATAATTGGCGTGTACCTTTGGTATGAAAAATTGCTGCGGCTGACAACAAGGAGTACGTAAAGTTGAGTGATTGGGCATCCAATATTGAGAGGTCGACAAGGCGAATAATTCTGACATAGTCTATCCTATCGTATAGGTGTTTGATCAGTCTAGCATCGGATGGCTTGTTCGTATCGCGGATGGATGACCGAATAAAATCCGCTCCAGATCGGGTACAAATAATGGCTCCGTTGCGATAGGCTAAAATTTGGAGGTATATGTTGATCCATGTGGCAGGCGTGATGGGAGTTAGTTTCCATTTCAATGTTTTCATAAGAACAAGTTCCATGTCTAGAATTTCTGCTTCACTACAAGCTCCATCCGTCACGTAGGCAAACGTCTTTAATTTGGGGGGATAGATTTCTTCAAGCTTGGCAGCCACAAATAAACATGTTATTCCTGCAATTAATCAAATTAATTAAAATATACTCAATCGAGTTAAATGAGTGCCTTTTAAAGCATTTGAAGATTTGTCAAAACATGTTGTCGCTATAATATGAAAATTCTTACCGATTAGTTGAAGATGGGCCTTTGGAACATTTTTTTGAACAGCAAGATAACGATCTAAATAATCAATTGCGAGATATAAAGTTTCTCTGTGCATTTTGTACGCTTCACACACATCCATAATCCAATCTAGGAGAATTGCTCTCATCTGAGGTCCCAGAATTGGGTGGTCCTTAAATAAATCCGGGTTACGTTGGTACTTCAAGTCCATTTTGCACATTAGATCCCAAATCTCATCACAATTGGCGAAACAAACGGGAGGGAGGGAGCATGTTCGTGAGCAATCCTGGGACTCATCCTTTACAGATCGGAGTCCATACTTGGACTGTGGGGTCACGTCCTCAATTCCTAAACCGCCATGGGCCGTCACAATGCTGCTACTGTTGAACTCACTTATCACAGACTCCTCATCTGACTGAGACCTTCGAGACGATCTTCGTGTCGAATGTGAGTTTGTTGATGATGTTTGATGACTGCTTGTCGAGGAGAACATTGACGAGGACGAAGTTGTGGACCGGGTGTCATAATCATGCTCAACCAGCTTCCTTCTGTAACTTTTCACACTTGTTGCACTAACATCACTCGGTGTGGAGGTTCTGGATCTTCTTCGAGCTATAATTTTCCTGTCAATTATGGCAGTTTCACTAATAGTTGATGTAGACGGATAAATATTGGTAAACTGGATTTCTCGCAGCTCTCCTGCAGAGATAGAGTGTCGGGACGACCGGGGTTGAGAGTGGGATGACGAGGACGACGAAGTATTGTTGATTCTGGACATCATTTCCCCATCCTTTAAAACCATACAAGTTATCGTCAACTCACAGAGCTTATCCAACTCGAAGGAAGCCCTTATTCTTTTCATGATAAACAAACGACAAACGCACGCACGCACGGACCTCCAACCAACCCACTACAATTACACAACAAAGAAAGTAAGTTGTACCTGGAGTGCCGTGGACTTTCTCTTCCGACTCCTTGTGAGAATGGGAGGCAAGGATTTGCGAGAGGACGATGTGGATCTCGACTCGAAATGTTGGGATGTGGAACCAACCCCATGAACGTTACTGTATCGCATGATAAAAAAAAACTCCTTGTGATTATTGTACATATATTATTGCATTACTATCAACGAATCTATTGACATTTCTCAGCGTGAATGTGTATACATTTAGTTTACTCATTAATGCATACATAAGTACATATCTGTCCAAGGGAGTAGGACTTGTTACACCAACCAGATATCACTAAAAGAAAAAAAGTAAAACAACTGCTCACCTTCTCGTCAACATATTGAGACTGGTTCACGCACGCTCACTTCTTGGAAATATAGTCCAGTCTATTATTCCAGCGAGTAATAAAGAATAAGGTCGTCTCAATCTCAGAAACTTTTTAAGTTGTCTCGAATAAAGGCTGCTGCTGTTGTGTCTTCTCTACAAATCGAAACAAAACGTATGATTATTTAGTGAGTACAATAAAATAGTATAGCTGACTGGCTGGGTGAGTTAGTCACCGCATTTAAACAATTGCATATATTAGACGTCTGCACATATAATATAAAATATTATCATCATCCATCGTCCTCGATAGTATATTTACATGAATTCTTAAAATTGTAATGTTAATCCTTAATCCGTTCTGTAAGTTCTACTTCTTCGAACCCTTCCTTCGCATGACACATGAGATGGATAGAATTAGAATATTGGTCGAGTTTTCGTATGATGTGGAAAAGGAAGCACGGTATATACCAGGAATAATAATTTAGCCATTTAACACAAATATCTTTCTTGCCCAAATGGTGAGTGAACCGATAAGTAAAATAGTCTACAGCGTAGACTCTTATTTAGATTTTATGCATGCTTGCTAACCTGGTTGGCTGATAATTAGGACAGGATAGGACAGGGTAGGACCAGATGCATGCAAAAGTGGACCTTCTTTCTACCCTTCTGATAAAACAGAGAAGACATATTCCAACAGAGGGACTTATCTATTCAACTTTTTACACCGAAAACATTACTACCAATAATCCTCCACAATGATGAGAAAAATAAGGAAAAATACCAATACATATACAACCTTGTTTTACACAGCCACATGTATTAGGTATGTGTGGGATATACATACATATGTACATGAACTTGCCTTCACCTGTTGATAACCTGAAGCTAGATTTCTGCTGGGTCCTTATTGATAAATGTCCATCCCACTAATAAACTAGGATGGACCATGGAACAGACTGGGTGCATAACATTTTAAAATAAGAACAATAACTACAATGTTCAGTACTGAAAAAGGTCCCGATTTTCTTCATGCAGTAAAATTTTAAAATATAAAAACAAAATAATAAAACAAAGCGAGCGGGTTAGCAATATGTAATAATTAAATCTCAATAATGATTCGATTTTGTTTTGATAAATATCCACCATTCAACGTTCTTAAACGATGAAACGACATTCTCGCGATTCACATTGCATCTTCTCCTCAACGCCACGGGAAAGGCGAAACGCGAAGGATTATTATCATTATGACGCGCGTCGTAAATGCTCTAAGGATAAGTTTGCAACATCTACGGCTCTACATAAATGTTATGCATTATTTAGAAAAGAGAGGAATTTCAGGGAAGAAGCCCTCCAACACTGCAGGCCCTCCTGCATTCCATCACCATCACCACCACCAAGTCCCGTCCACTTCGTCTTGTGAATGAAATGAACTGCTCCGTCTTTCCTTAGCCTTATGTACAAGACGAAGGAATAAGTGCCCCCAGACACGGGATGAAAATGAATGTTTTGTAAATAACAACATTGCCAGCCAACAACAACCTGTTCTTCTTCTCCCTCCATCCAAGAACTCACCCGACCATGCAAACATCCTTCCTCACACACTCTTCCATGAAAATCGCACCATATCGACACAACAATGTCTTTGATGGCTTATCCCTCCACCGCCAAAAATACCTCTTCTTTTGCCCACCATGAAATTTAAGTAGGCCAAACACTGCTCACCTTATCGAGGCCGTCGTGTATCATGCACTTGATTCAGATAAGCCCATGCATGCAGATGAATGAATGAATTTGCAAGTTATATGGAGACAGAAGTAAATTAGTGGGTCAAGTGGTGATAACCCTTATCAACCATCGAACCCAATAGTAATAAATAAGTGATATAATATAAAGCTACTTAACTCGCCCTCATGTACCGATCGTAAAATGTGATTACGGGGATCAAAATTGGGCAGATGGGAATCCTTATCAGATTGAAAAGCCCGAATTCCGGTGTTCACCGGAGAGAGAAGACAAAGAAGTCAGCGGAGACCCTTTGCGAGGGAATCATAACAGCAGCAGCCCTTGGGTACACACACACACGGGAGCGGAAGGGGAATGAACCCTTTGTTGCGTGTGCTTATTGCACGGCATGAAAAAAAGTGGTATTTATGCAGCAAGCAAGTCAGCGCGCGGGCAACTTCCCCTTGGTCACTGTGCTCGGATTCGGACAATTGGAATACGTAAAAAAATGACATCTAGATACAATTGTTTTAAATACGGCGTATTTCTACTCTAGCCATGTAGTCACTTATGCAATATTCAATGCATAACATTAAAAGTCCACCTTTAAAAAATATGCGTGGCTTAAGTCATACGAAATATTTATATACGGGACAAGTCACTGGGGAGGATTAATCTTAAAGACTTGGTTGAAGGTATGAAATAAATAACTTTTTTATGTAGTGTCTGCCTACCAAGTACAAACAAATAATTGGCACTATAAAAACGACAACAATCTCTACTTGTAAGAAATCATTTCTGTATGTACTCTGTAAGTACATATCTTAATATAATTAGTTTAGCTGAGATGAAAGGACAAAAGGAAAAACTAAATTGTATTCACTTGTTATACGCAGTTACATACACATAATACATGCATACATTTAATGTATTACACTAATCACTTTTAGTATTTAAAAATTTAACTATTTTTCTTGCATCAAGTACGTTGTCGAAGTGGGTGTATATACAATAATATCCTAAAATTAACCCAATTTTGTTGCACTGCCTTTAACAAATTTTGCATACTCGAACAAAGTCCATATTGCATGCAATTCGCCCGGTCTTTTTTCCTCTCTCCCTCGCATAACATATCATATAACCAACACGCCTAAATATGCACCAAATCTCTTCCTGCCTGATCCACCTTCTTCTGGTGAGAACCGTTTTCCTAGGACATGTACCACCAGATTGGTGACCTACTCATGACCCTCACCACTTTCTCCAGGCCACTTCTCACGACCACTTTAAGAAAGGAGAAAGCACAAATGGTACTTACCGGTTTGAGTGCGCCAACGGGGTCCCTTCCGCCTGAGCGAGTGGCTGTCCTCACAAGTGGGTGTGGTTGTGGGTGGTCGATCCTCAGAGGAGAGAGGGAGAAGAGGATGCAGTTGGCCTGGTCGGAGAGGGAACCGTGGGACGACTGACGGAGGAGAAGTGAATGTGGAAAAGTTTCATGGAGCGTAGAGCAGAGCAGAGAGGAAAAAAGTGGTGGTGGTGGAAAGTGTGATGAACTCGCCCGTATATTCCCTCTAACTCTTTGTTCTCTTGCCTCTCACACAGCCCCGAGCCGCGCAAAACCACACCCACCCGCAGTCTCCAACCAGGTCACCCCCCGCACCAACCCCACAAAGACTGCTCTACCGTTCTCTCGCAAAAATGGTGGCCAATTTCGACCACAGGACCTCAAGTTCGGCGTGGGAACTTCATGACTTGCAAGGAAACTATCAAAAAGTTCATGTGGTGGGGTGGGTGAGGCTAGTTGGATAACAGCATATCATCGTATGTCATGTGTAATAATGACAACTCACTGGTACAAATCCTGCAATAGTAACAATTACGGGAACAAGATTTGCCTGCATGCATTGAACTGCATTCCGTTTCAGAGTAGTCGATTGGAGAATAAGTGGATGGGTTGGTGGGTATTCTACTCATATGTACATACAGTCTGTCTGGGCATTTAATTTAGCCCAAACAATGGTTACTCTTTTGTGTATGTAGTCGTAGTGGCACTTACTTCTTACTTTATACTCGTTCTTCATGATGCTTTTTATGGCTATGCAGAAGGAGATGTGCTTGTGGAATGCGTGTGGCATATATTGAACCTCTTTCATTGGGAATTCAAGGTCGGGATAAACCACGCGAGGGAAAAAGATACCGCTTCATAAAATAAGACACACAGCAAACTTTATTTTTCTCATGAAAATTTACATGAAATTATTGTACAAATTGACACACATTGGCATGACTAGATGCAACAAGTTATGGCGATATGTAATAAATCCAATTCAAAATGCATAAGTTAGAAATCACAGTCGTTTCTGGGAGCTTGTAACGTCAATCTTCGTAGTGGGAAGGTCAGCCGGCGGCCCCAAGAGTTCACGCGTGACCAGGTAGTGGGCAATAAAATGGAATAATAGGAGAAAGAGGGTTGTGGCTTGGACGATGACAAAGTGTGAGATGGACATCCCGATGTCGAGCCAAGACCCAGTGTTCCGGACCTTGAAGAACATGACTAAGCTCATGGCCTGGCAGAGGAGGAGGAGGATACCAAAGTTCCTCTCCACGTCCCTGGAGCTGGGGAGGAGTGCTCGCCAGAAGGAGGAGACGAGAAGGAAAGGTGCCAGGATTTTTACGAGCATCAGGAGCATCATGACCCAGGGGGAGAACACGCTCACAAAACACCTGGTGCTCGAGGGATCGAAGGAACTCACGCTTCCAATGTTACCAGTCCCGAAAAAGGAGAGGAATACAAAGAATAACTGCAACACAAAAAAAGTGACACTGGTTTCAGAATCATTTCAAACTCTGTAAATCATCTCACCTGTCATAATGAAATGCTACTAACAGTATATGTCAAATGTCAGTACACAAAGTGTACCACGTTATATAATAATCCACATGCTTATACCTTCACGCGTTCCTCGACACTCGACACAAACTCGTAAATGTGTTCTTAAAATTATGCATTTCCACCCATTTTATTCACTTACATGTAACCAGGCTCGTCGAAATGCTCGGTGAATGTTAACTATTTCTTGCTTATTGTTCCTCCTAGTTAACGGTTCCTCCTGTCGACTCAGCGTGAAAAATTCTGGCCATTTTCTCCTCCCACTTTCCTCGCCGAATTCTTCTCCAATTTCCAGCTTGAGAAAGAGCATGAGAACAAGGAAGAGTGCGGGGAAGAAGAGAGTCTCGTATGAAATCCCCAAAAACGAGAAGGGAGTTCCCAAGGCGAGAAATATTGAGAGGAGTCGAAGCACAACCATCGTTGAGGACGTCAGCATTGGGCAGATCAGTGACAATAGGAGTGACGTCCAGGCGAGAAGTCTTGTGCCCATGAAGCTCGGAAAATGTGACAAGAGGGCAGCGCTCATTTGAAGGAACAATTGGGTGGCCAGCACTAGTGACGGTCAGATATTTAGCACTAGATTGATCACTCTGAAAAAAGAATTTCATGTACATATTTGTTTTACATACCAAGTTGGTCCTCTGCACTCTGAAGTCCACCAGACCCACCCAAGAACACAAGTCCTACCACAGCCATGCCACAAGAAACTAAGGGTCCAAGCGTCCTGAAATATAATTACTAAAATATGTACACGTAAAATGGAACAAGTACAATAATGACATTAATTGTTCAAGACATGCATCATTTTCATTCATTCATTCTAAATGCAGCGGTTTGTGTAAAACTCTGATTTATTTAGGGCAAACAATAAAGACAACTTTGTGACGTTTTTTTGCATTGAGGAAAAGACATCTGCTTTGCCACGCGAGGGGATGAATCAAAAGCAGCATGAGTTTAATCAAAGGTGCACATCCGAGAAATGGTGGATTGGAGACTTGTAGAGCAATATATATACGCTCTATAATACGGAGCGTATCGTTGCACTAGTAGTTACCAATACAGATGAGCAGACTTATTATACCGTGTAAGTCAGTACCCAAAGATTTGATAAATGCAAGGATGGGCAAGGAATGTGTATTTCCGAAAGAGGACTTATTCATATGGAGAAGGAAAGACAGGGAAAGAGAGGAGAGCATGAGCTGCATACAGCATTAGAATTGCATGAAGTCTACGTACATATATGCCCACAAAAAACTGGGGTCTTGATACAGAAAGAAAGCTGACAGTAGGGAACAAAGGTAAATAAGGGACCGACTCACGTGAAGAAAGGACTGCGAGCTCGACCGATGATGGGGACTGCCGGGAAGAGAGCCAATATCACAACGGCCACCAAGTGCAGAATAAAATCTCGTCTCTTCATTCGTCCGTTCTTCTTGGTGTGAGACTTGAGTACCCAGACAAGGTTCAAGAGAAGGATTCCGCTTAGCACACTCCTCTCCCAGAAACTCAGCAGCAATAGTAACACTCCCAAGATCGACAGGCCCAGACTCCAGGCCAGCTTTGCCTTCTGTCTCAATGCAATTTTTTGTTGTCTCAACTTGTAATTCAGAAGGAAACAAAGGTACGTGGGGATGAAACAGTAGCCCACTTTCCACAAGGACCAGCCGATGATACCTATATATACATAGGTATTTTAAATTCATTAACACCTAGACTTATTCCAGTACATGCACATAATCATGGTTGATTCTTCTCAAAACTTTCAAATAATTATGGTCACAACTCGGGGTGTTATATATTAATATGTTATATATTATCATGCAAATTTGTGAATTGGAAATATTGGAAATTATTTTACGTGTACCTTTCGTTATCAAAGTTCCAATTCCAAATCCCCAGAGAAGCAATTTTAGATGCAGAGAAAATGACGAGCGATGACGATCATGATCATCCAAACTTAAAACGCTTGACGCCACCAAAATCATGAGCAATAAGAACGTTCCGAAGGAAAAGCAAATCATCAGCGTTTGGTTATAACGTTCATAATACACGTTTGTTTGTAATGCCTCCTCAAATGCTGAATCCAGTCGAAGTATCTGAATGAAATAGTAGACTTTGTACTCATTGTCAGCATTATAATAATACAGGAAAGTAATTCTAAACTTGAAATTATAGGATAACAAATTTAAAAGCGTCTATATGGCGTTTGTCAGGTACTTACAGCGTCTGCAATATTGCCATCTTTCATCAACCTGTCCGTATTTTGCAAAACTTGTATCAACATTTCTTCATCAGGGAATGCTACCAATGGGAAATTTCGCTCTGAAGAAATCTTGTCCTTTTTTGTCTTGGTTAACTCCATTACTTGGAGGAAATTTGATCGAAGATTCGCATAAGCAAATGATTGGTCATTCCAAATTTGTGTTGGAAATTTTCCAACAGAGTTTGACGGAAATGCAGATCCCAATGAACCAGCAACCAGGGCTGCAATGTCAGCCTGATTTATTCTGAGATTTTCAGTATTTCTGCGATCAAACAAAACATTAATTTTACTATCTATGTTTAAGGTCATAATTTAAAAATAATTCATGACTAAAGGGCATAATTGGTTTGGTTAATGTTTAAATTCTCACTTTATCCCAGGACCCCATACAACAATTGGGGTTTCAGTTTCCTCCACTGAACCACTACCATGAGATCCTAAAATACACATATATTTAGGACATATTATTTTCAGAAATACTGTAACAATAAGTACATTATCATGATTTTTTGTTACTTCCACGTGCTACTTTATTCTTACCCCAGTCAGTCATTCCATGGTCGGACGTGAAAAGAAATAATGTTTCTTTATCACCATAATAGTTCTCCATCAAATTTTCCACTTTTGCAACAATATCATCCACCACGGTAAGTCCAGACTCGTATTCTCTGCAACAACAACATGAAAACAATACAATCTTTTTCAAACAATCTATCACTTTCTTTCTTAGATAACTAATACCTGGAATGTGGTTTAGTCGCATGACCAGTGTTGTCAATTCCCAGTAGATGTAGAAAAATTATTAAATTGCCATGTCGTGGTAGTCGTTGTTGTTCTGTCAATATTTTGAATCTGTCAAAAACCCACGTGTCCAGCACTGACGAGTTGCCTTCCAAAAAATCTTGCCAGTCAGAGGGGTACGTTTCCGAGTAAATTTTAGACTTTGCTTCTCCTAAATATGCATGTGAAATTAATTCATTTAAAATGTACCTTGTACCCTATTACACCTTATCAAACCTTGAGCAAACATGTTCACCACGTCCGGAGACCCCAAAGCAATTGAACCCTTTGACTGGTTAAACACAGAGTCAAACTCGACCAAATTATTCTTCCATCCAGTAAATACAGCGGACGGATCTTCATAAAAGCCAGCTAACATGGCAATATGTCCAGGTCTCGATTCTGTGGGGACTCGGGTGTCAGAAATTCCTACCGCGACTCCGACGTTTTTTCTAGACATCACGGACCTGGTGGATGGAGTGAATACAAAAAATAAGAACAATAAGTTGCCACACTAAAATGTAATATAGTTGAGTATGTATAATTAAGAGTTTGTAAGACACACATACGAGAGGTAAGGACGAAGATGTGGATTATTGAAGAAAGTGTCCCCTCTCAGCCCATCCGCGACGAAGAATACGAGACGTTTAAGAGAGGAAGGGGGGTTGTCCAGTATGGCCCGGTGTGAGTTGGGGACATGAACGATCGGGGACTTAAAATAGATGTCAAAGACTGAGCCCAGAAGGAACAAGTTGACGAGAAAGGCGATAACCCACACCCCCCGCATTGTAAATTTCTTCAATCAACTTTTATTTCTTCATTATTGATCAGCAGCTCATGAAGGTAAATAAAACTTTATGCTCCGGCCTGGTGAGAGACTTCCCGGGACAAACCTCAGTGATAATGAGACATTGGGCATTGTTTATTTGCTTTGTTTCGGGTCTTGCAAAATTTTTTGCATAATTCCACAAAAGTCCTTATGCATGCACATTTATGACCTTTTTGAAAGTATAACATGCATCTGTATCAAATTATTATATGATGAGGTTGCAGTAGGTTTTTATTGGCTGCTAGACATAATTTTTAAATATGACACATTTTATCGCCTACAAATTTGATTTTAATGAACTTTCAGCATCTTGACATCCCGAGAACCGAGGGATTGCACGGGTCGATGATTTTCGATCAAGGTACGGTTGTGTCCATCCACCAGACTGCGAAAGGCGTTGACATCTGAAGGACTCACCGTAATGGGGGTTTTAAACACGTACCAGTTGACCTGCTCGTTGCATGTCGGGGTGGTAAGTGAGCCCTTGTAGTGGAAGATGGGGTCTCCGCGGTGGGGCAGGAGTGGCATCATGTCAATGGGCTCCTCAACCTTCACCCAATACGAGTGCACATCCTTGATGCTTGCAATCCCCTTCAAGATGGGCGCCTTCAGTTTTTACAAAATAAAATTACTTTCAAATCCAATTTTTCCACAGTTATTATTAAATGTAAAACGTGCCAGGGCAGGGTTAGGGTCCGCTCCTTTGACAGCGTTGAAGAAAATTCCAATCACGGAGAGCGCGTCCGCATCGCCAGACTTTATCGCTTTGGCTGCACTCCCATACTTTTCGTTGTAGTGCACGAGATGCATCTCCTATTTTTTATCCAAATATGTGCACAGGTATTTATGTAGCAATTATGTTGCTTTTCTCGACAATTGCTGCTGCCAACTTTGTGCAAGTCAATTCTTTTTGGATGTACATTTTTCTTACCATCGCGAAGCGCTTGCCTTCGAGGGCGTGCTCCGATCCATCTGAATCGGTTTTGCCCCAGTGAAAGTGAGCGTTTGATAATCGATACTTTGTTTTAGTGAGACCTATGTTTTTATCATTAAATTTGATGAGATTTTTGAAATAATTCTCAAAGTAAAGCTTGATTAATTGTTAGCTTAACATATCCTGGGAAGAAATATGTGTCCCCTTCTTCGTGTTGAATGGGAAAATCAATGTTCACTGTGTGGCCGTTATTCTGTAAAATAAAAATTTAGACTAATCGTCGTAAATATTTGAAATGGATTTAATTTGAAAGTTAAAAAATCTGACTCTGCACACCCTCGACCAATAAGTTCTTTACGTGTATGCAGAATTTATTTTATGTAGGCGTCTATATTATACATCATAAACCTAACCTGAACCTTGCGTTTCTCATCTCGTAATTAATTAGATGAAGAACGATTTTTTGAAGTAGTACTAGATTCCAGTTTATGAAAATTATTCCTAAACTATTTTCTACCTTATTACATAGGTATAGGAATAGCAAAAATATCTTTATCATGGACATTTTTTTCAGCATCTATTTTTTCACTTAAAGTTAAAACCATGCAATACAGGCCATTTTTATTGGCTTCAATTACCTGAATAAAAAAGTGATCGCATTGGAACCTGTGGAGTGGTTGGTCCACCTGGAAATGGCGTTCAAGATGTTCGTTTTTAACGTTGTGCAAGGTCTGTCTTGTAGCATTTGAATAGTATTTATCTTGCCATTTCTTCGTCCGTCGACGTGGCCTTCAGGTCGATAGGGGATTGTTTCTTCCCAGTTTTGCAGGTATCAGCCCATTGTTCACTAATGGGAGAACACTCGTCATAACTGTAGCAGAACTCGTGGGGGTGAGACGCAACGTCCACTGCGGACGTGGGTCCCATAACCAACAAGATGAGCCATACTCCCAATAGTGCCACAAAGGTGTCATGCACACGCATCTTGATTCAAGAGGTTGGCTAATTCAGAAACGTTGCGCTATGCTAAGATAAGTTGACAAGTAAGCTGACTCGGTACCTCAAGTGGTGAATATCGATACTGGTCTGTCATGTTTTCTGTCCTTGAAACTAAACCTCACGCATCACAAAACAATATCAAATATGTCCTTTTCAATTCAGTTAACGAGTCCTCTCAAGACTAATGTTTTATTGTTTCATTTATGAATATGGAACAACGTCACTCGTCCATTAACTAATAATAGTATTGGTTTTATAAATGAAGCACTTATATAAACAAAAATGGTTTCACTAGTGCTAATTCCATTTCATTCCATAATTCCGTTTTTAACCAATATTGTGTTTGTACATATATGCAAATGATTAATATATTAGAATAAAATGTCTAGTCAATCAATCAATGTCAATATTTTTATTATCTTTGAACTTAGGATTATGTAGACAAAAATTTAATTTTACACAAAAAATGAATTTGGATTTACTGGTAATTATAACAAATTATTATAATAAGTCCTGGAGAAATAAGCGTTTAAAAACGAGAACACATTATTGATCATCAAATAATTAAACAGTTTTGGCAATGAAGCAAGTTGTATCAGCTACAATAATGATAAAGTCTTCTTTCTGGCAAAATCACAAAATATAAACTCGTTAAAGTAGAACAAGCCCAAATAATCAAATTATACATATGAAACATTTGATTGCGAAATAATAAAAATAAAAATAAAGGTGACACGATACAAGTTCAAAATTGAATTCTGGTTATATAATAAGGACACCGATTATAATCACTAAAATTAACTATTCATGTCGTCTCAAAAATTCAGTTTTTAACCTCGTGCATACAACAACGCTCCGTACTCGGGTGTACAGTTCAATTGAAAGCTTAAAAGTTATCCATGTATCCAATCATATACGTATCAAATTATGTATGTATGTACAAGTTTACAACAACGCTTGTTGAGTGAGCCAAGGATGATATTTCTATATTAGTATTACGTTATGGAGCATATATTACATATATATGTCTGTATATAACATTACATTATGAATATTTTGTATAATACCACATTGTCAATCAACGTTTAGTATTTTCTAAAACATTAACGTAATTAATAATTGCTTACGACTGTTTTTATATTACTTAATTAGAAGAGTAACGAACGAATATTTTCGTTTATTTCAAAATTATATCAGTGAACGTGAATGACATGATATTTTGTCAATAAATTTCGATATGGACAAATTTTGCCATTAAGATTTTTTTTGCGATTATACGTTGATTGATATTGGTTAGAGATTGATTGATTTTTTTCATTCAATATATATTGCACTCATAAATACTTTGGCAAAGTAAAAAGCTAATAAGGAACATAATAAAATGGTAAAGTTGACTTGTATCAATGGTTTCATTGCTATATTACGCTAATTTGGCAGCATTTTCTCTGGTGTGTGTGTGCATAATGTGTTTCAATTCCTCACATTTGCAGTACTGTTATACTTTTACGCAGTAAAACACTTTTTCTCTGAAAGCCCTTTGTGTCTGTGACGTTTCGCATATTCATATATAAAATTTTGGGTGACAAAATTCATGAGAAAATTAATTTAAACAAAAATGCAGAACGGGGATTGAAAATGTACAGCGTTAATAATAATAATATTGGATGACAAGCTCGTCGTGTTTTCAGCAATAATAATTCACTTTGACTCGAGAGAAGTGTATTGGGTTGGGTTAAATATGTTAAAGGGTGTTAATCACATACTTAACAAGAAGTGATCACAACGTTAACCAATATTTTGGCACTACTACATAAAAATCGAAGGTAGGGGAGATGATGAAGAGAGATCTTGAAATTGTTGCACAATGTTGTTACATACATATGGCAATTTCTATGTAAGTAATAATAATAATAATAATGGTAATATTTTTTAGCTCATACATGTAGTCTCTACACTAAGTCTCTCAATTATACGTACGGCGAGTATATATCTATATATGGGTATATTTTATAAAAACACCAGTGCGGGTACGACAAATCATTCGACAAATGAGTTAGGTATAACATCTCGAAACTAATTTCTCATTATCTCTACTCATAGGTAAATATCATTACGTAAGTCACGAGGATCAAAGTTTACGACGAAAATCGAAACTCCCAGTTTTCGGAAGACCCCTTCGCGTTTCTTCGGGATAAAATTTTATCCCTTCCACAGTAAATATACTGATTTCTGTTGAAAAATTGAGAGTTGATTGTAAAATAAAACATTATTGAAGCGTTTACATACGCATACACGTAGTCAATCAACTTACCGTGAGGCAATTCTAGGACTTTTGGAGGGAGATCAGAAAAATAAGTGTGTCTCAGTGCTTCATCAGCTTCCAGTCTTGTAGTCGGATCCAACTAAACAGGAAACAAAAAATGCATATGACGAAATGTTTCCTAAAAATCATAATTGAAATTGTGGTTCACTGCAATCTGTCTGATGTAGTGTACCTGAAGGAAGGCAGCGGCAAGGTTCTCAGCAGAAGAGACATCGTAAAGTCGAGGAAATGCGAGTCCCAACTTTTGAGGCTTATACAGCCTCTTCACTTCTCTGTGGTAATTCGCTAGTTGCGTCACACCTTCAAACCGTAATTATAAAGCAACATTTCATAATAAGTAAAAACAGTCAGCAGAATATTGATATCAGCTATATTAAAATAATCTTGGCCATTACCTTCCCAGCTTTTCTCCGTGGGTGTGCCCAGCACCCTGAAAATTTTGTCCAACTGGTCAGAAACATCACGCACCCCTGGAAAGACGGGTCCGCCAGTTAGCATCTCCACAAAGATACAGCCAACTCCCCACGTATCTTGATAGATAAGACATTATATATAAATGCTTAGTAAGTATTTTGGCCAGTTAATGTATGATATGTTTAAGCTACACATTTGTTCAAACAAATTACTAAAATCTGGCGGATGGCGTACTTACCGAGACTTGTAGAGTAGTCTGTTGAACCTAGCAATACATCCGGCGGTCTATACCAAAGCGTTACCACCTATTTAACAACAATTTTTATAGCTCTTTTAGAAATGCAGTTATACTTATTTTAGATGGAAATTAAACATTGTCATTCAGCTATGCCGTTTTGTACATATGAATTATATCAGCAAATTCCCAAATAAGACCCGCATATCTACATACCTCGTGTGAGTATGTATGACTTGGCACCGACTTCGCTCTGGCAAGTCCTACAAAAAGAAAATATACAAAATTACGTCCGTGTTGTTGTTTGCATTGGAGATAAACCAGGCAACTGTTTAGAAACCGAGGAGAATGAGAAACCTACCAAAATCAGCCAACTTGAGTTCTCCACCTTGGCTGAGAAGAAGGTTTTGAGGTTTGACATCCCGGTGTAGAATTCTCCTACGGTGGCAGTATGCCAGCCCACGGAGTAATTGGAAGAGGAATAATTTCACGTTGCGCGGATTTAAACCGCCAGGATGCCTCTCCAGGTATTGAGATAAGTCCGTGTGCTGTAAGGAAGGATAGAAAAGAATATAATCAGCCATTTCAACGTGCCGGTGGAAACAATGCACAGATGCTTTTGTCATCCATCCATGTTGTATCGCACCACTCTGCCATTCAACAATGGAACTGGCTGGCTCTGGTCCAATGCCACAGAATATTGAGATTATGAACTGTCTCCGGACAACGCATAAGAGTGACATTGTCCATCCACGAGGACTGGGGGAAAGCAGAAGAAAGGCCAAAGAGAGGGCGAAAGAAAGAGAGAGAGAGAGTGACAGGGAATCTTCTTTGACTCGACTCCAAAATTTGGGATTGAATAGCGTCACAAGTCAAGTGCACTTCCTGGCTGGTTGAGTCGGTGGGGAGCATAAATTGTGGGAAGGAAAGTGAGCGAGTGACTTACGAGGTATTCAAAGACGAAGGTGAGGGTAGATTTAGTGTGTACGATGTCGTGGAGTATCACCTATAATCAATATATGCATTGCCATGTTACATTTTGTTCAAAAATTGCATCGAGTCAACCTTGCTAATCGTCAGAGAAAAAGAGAGAATGTAAACTCACGATATTTGCATGTTTCAGGTCCTTCAGGAGGGAAGCCTGTAGGAAAAAAGAGAAAGTTGCATTCTGGCATTTTTATTCATAACAAAAGAGGAAAGAGAGGGAGGGGGGATCAGAGCGGTCGGATAAAAAAGCGCACCTCGCGTATAGCGGTGAAGGGAGTTCCTTCCTCTTCTTGGAGTCTTATAACCTTCAGAGCTACCACTTGGTTCGTCAAACTGTAAACATGGGAAACATGAGAATCAGACATATTCGATATCGGCATCGTTTTAAGATATTATTGTGTGGTCAATCAGACATTTTCAATTCAACTTTACAAAATACCAGCACTATACGAAACTGTAAACTGTAGAATCATTCAAGAGCAATGTAGTTCAATTACAATTTGCATTGACTTCAGCTCAACTCTTTGAATAAGATCCAATGCAAACTGGCTACTACGTAAGTGCTAGAATCAGACACACTGTGGTGGGTGAAAGTCTCTGCTGCTCCCAATAATTCAGGAGAGGAAGATTCTATGGAGCAATTGAGAGGATAGGCGGAGGATTTACTCCGTATACGAAAGCTCCAAAGTTGAACAAGGGCGATGATTGCAATTTCCTTTAATCCCAGGTAATCCCTTCACCCTGATGATTCACAACATATTTTCTCCTTGTACTTTTTATCCCTCTCCTGCCTCCCTGCTAATCTTGGAGAAGAGTGAGTACGCGACGCCTGGCTGGCTGGATGGATGTGGCATGAAGCAGCAGTGGAGATAGCGACTCTACTTTGCCAACTAAACCGGAAACCCATTTTTCTCAAGATGCAAACTGTGAACATGAGAGTGCGTGTAATAAAGAAAGGCTCCTCGCACACATCCTCTCCCGATGTTTGGGTGAGGAGCAGAATACAGAAAATCTCATGATAACACGCCAGATCCATAAAGAAGCTAAATCGTTCGTGTCAGTGATTGATTTCTATCCACCGAGAAAAAAAGTGAACACATTTTTGAACTTGAAATCAATCCTTCAACTTCCTTCCTTCTCATCTTCTTTGCTTCCTCTTCCATTGAATTTTGTGCAGCGGAACAGGACGACAACGACTTTGAACAATACTAATAATAATGTACACCATTTGTACCCTGCATGCAGTCTCTAAAGCTATACAAATAAATCTGTGATTGTCTATACGTATAGTTTAAATTCTACTTTTTGAATATATTCTCACATGACTCTCATTTTCCTCCATTCGCAAATTTAGTATAATATAATACACGTCATAGTATCCATCTATCCTTTTTTGTCTCCCAAACTATAGCTTTATGGCTACACAACAATTAGTAGAAACTAAGCTATCTGCAAGGATTTCCCAGCATTGGATGAGAATGAATGGAAGGAAAACAAACAAATCATCACCAACTTTATCTTCCTCCTTCACTTCAAAATGAATCTGAATTAACCCAACTTCAAAGTGGTCCAACTTTGAGAGAGAAAGTACCGAAAGAGCTGATTACTAGAGTGCCACACTGGCGGCGTGGCTCTGTTAATTTTTGTGAACAAGGGATAGCAGAAGAGAGGAGCCAAACCAAAACCACATTTCACGGAACATGGTAAATTCCAATTCATTTACTTGAGCAATGGCAGAATGCTAGGCGTGTGTTTGCCGTGTTCACCTTGAGCTCAAATTAGTACATCAAGTAGGCTGTGGAGAAAGAACGCACGAAAAGTACCCATGCCGCTGCTCAGTCATTTAAAGAGAGGGTGAGATTTATTGGATGTAACTATGCGTCCATTCATATGTACACATCAACCAGCCAAGCCCGGTTTTAGGCTGAAACCGAAACTCCGCCACTCTACGTACTTGAAATATGTGTGCGTGTAAACAAACGGGACTCGGTTGGATGCACTTTCTCCATCCACGCTCAACGCTGTGCTTTCTTTCTCAGCTTCCCCTGCCACCACCAGCCAAGCAGAGAGCGAGAGAGGAGGAAAGAGAGCGTTACGGGGATGCATTTTCAAGTTATAGAGTCTTAAACAGCCATAAATATCATCCAACCAACCTGAGACATATTATACGGCAAAATCGAATTCCTTCAAGACCAGCACCAGCTATTATTATTAGTCGTCTCTCATATTTAGTAAGCACAAGAACTCCTGCAACTCCTCCTCGAGTTGTTAGTTCGTGGGATCTCAGCAGGTATGTATCTCTACAGTCGTGAGACTATGCAGTCCAGGCAGAGACAACGCCCAATTATCCACAATTTATGACCTTCTTCTTGGCACTGGACGCATCTCCTCCGTCCCTTCTTCACACCTCCCTCTCCTCTCCCAAACACACCACGCGAGTCGCCACACAACATTACCAAACCTTTCCATTAAATTCTAATTTCGAAGCAGATGCGACACAACGCAGGATTAATAAACTCCTGGTTTTATGCAAGTCTCATTACCTTTGCAAGCCGAGGAGATCCTGCATCTACATTCTCCGTCACAGGGAAAAAAAGTCGGCATGTACACTTAGGTTTAAAAATACTGGAATTTAATGGGAAGAGTGAGGACACCATGCACAGGCACAAAAAAGATGAGACGATGAACGAGTTAAAAATCATTTCAACTCGTTCATTTGAATGAGAATCTCTTTTCTTATCTTTTTCACTCAACTCCTCCAGTGGCAGAATAATTTAACTGCCGCACTAACCTCACCACGTAGTAGATTATTAGTGGAAGGAAAAAGTTTCTGAATTTTATTAGAGTTACGGCGATGAGAGATAGAAAAGGCCTCGATGTCTCTTTGTTGAACGCCAAGTTCAACAAAGAGACAACATTTATTCAGTCATTTGGATTTTGGAATTGATTTTTTGAGTGTGCAACTTGTAATAAAAGGAATCATTTTGAACCAGCCGTCTTGTTATCCTCTTCCAAGAACGCTCTGAAACGGAGGAGGAAGAAGAAAGCATAATATGACAACTGTGGCAAAATAACTGTCATCGTCATCGAGAGGGGAAGCTGATGAGGAAGGGAGGGAGAGAGAGAGGAGAACGCCACCACAAATGTGACGCTTATTACCTATTGCATTCAATTAGAGTGATTTGTGGATGACCATTTTCATAGAAAGACAAATGAAACGCGTCCAAAAAAATATCAGAATATTTAAACGCCTAGAACACTCATATAATAGAATTGGCCTTTGCTTACAGGTCGATGTACATACGTATGAAGCAGTCTCATGAGGATCAAAATGTCATAAAATGCAACTGGGCACCGGGAGTGCATCTCAATCTAAAACACATTACAAGGTTCAAGACACACGGAGCATAACCTAACCAAAGACGAATGAATGAGAGAGAAGTCGTGGTGCAGGTAGCGAGCGAGGATCGAACGGCCCGACTTTCTCCCTCATTTCTTATGCATGGGAGTGGAAAGAGATTAGAATGCGGAGACCAACTAACTAACCAAACTCTACAGCACAACTTCTCTCTCTCTTTGAATTGCACTCGCACATACTTCATCCAGTCTAGTACCCAAACACAGAGGGACATTAGGCTAATCAAGTGTCAAAGGTCGTTATCATTGCCACGTGAGGTGAAGGAATTATGTAAAGTCTTGTTTGGGACTCGAGTCACATCCACTCCCAACTTCACTCACGTCACATCTTTATCTGGAGGCAGGAGGAGAAAGTATGACGACCTCACCAGCACCACGGCCAGACAAAAATTGTCAGCTACCTGCCTACACACACAAGGGCTGAATGTCACCCTGCATGCTCATCATCATTCATCGAGGAGCACATTTTCTTGGAGAGGGATGAAACACGAGTCAGATTTTGGATGCAATGACACGCTTGTTCGGCATGTTATCAGCCATAGCCGATTAATTCAACAACTTATTCCAACACTATAGAATTATTTGCCAGCACCACTGTCACTTTCAATCTTGAGGAGTATAGATCGACCTAACTCGCTCACTCACTGCTCCTTCTCCAGTTGAAATACATTTTCATGACTAAATCCTCTCTCGCTCGTTCTGCAATAATCCTTTCCTTGAAGAGATGGATGAAGTGGAGTGAGCAGGGGAGCTCTTTCGGAACGACGTCGAGGAGGAGGACGACGATAATCGTAATTCCATTTTGGCTCAAGAGACGCTCCAAACAGCCAAACACTTGCCACTTGTGCTTAACTCACCTAAAAATAACTTGGATCAGAAGGAACGAATGAATTATTATGCAGCATGCAAATCTCGTACTACTTCTGCTACCTTCATTATATGGAGACTTGAATCGGGATGGATGGATGGTTACCAACCACTTGCATTTTTCTCAGTTAATGATGACTGCATAAACTGGGCATACAAATATTCTGGAACAAGTTAACTTCACAGCTAACTTGTTCTGTAGCTCGTTGTTGGCAGGAAATTAAATTCTGTTTACACAATACCCAACCCATGAGTCTCGACCCGTGAAGGCCATGAACTTTGTCCTTCACTCTCTCTCTCACTCTTTCTGTCCCTCTGGACCTAAATTCCGCCACACAAAATTAACTCCGTCCATGGGAGAAAACAAACTGTATCAACATTCAGTGGAGCGCATATTAATTAGAAAATCTGCAAACCCATCTCCAGAGCAGCAGCAAGGTTAGAGGAAGGAATGCTGATTTCGGCCGACAACAATGAGCAACATGACTGATGATCCGTTGTGGCATCTTTTAATTTAATTTTCCTCTCCGCCTGCCGCACAGTCGGCATTCCTTTCAAACTCTACTCGACCACCGGGTAAATAGTGATGCACGACAACAAGTGACCCACATATTGTTTTTAGGAGAAGCTAGAAGTTGTAGCTGTGTCAGTTTCATCATGTTACTTACTTGCTGTATCCTTTGAAAACGGTTGCATACGAGCCTTCTCCTAATTGCTCCAACTTGATATACGCTTCAGATTTCCCGAATGGCGAGTCCCCCTGATAAAACCATAATAAAAACTTTGTTAGAGGTTGCGAAACTCGCATCATTAATAATAATTAGGAATAGGAAAAAACATGATATTTTGCTCATGTTATAATAATCACTGGTAAAAAAACATATAGAACCCATTTCGATAAGTACACGGATGATTATGAACCTTCCAAAGAAGGCTTCAAAAGTCATGTGCAAAAACTATATGCATGTATAAAGACATCCTTCTCTATACAAATACACATATACTTATATATATAGAGAGAACAAAATGAATTAATGTCACTCTTCCCGTAGGGATGAATCAGTCAAAGAGCGCATTAAAGACTAATTCTTAGAAACGTCGCCCTCAAGCCCTTACCACTAGAGAACTGGAATGAGGTCAATTATACACGAGAAACGAGGTTGCTAATACTATCCCAAATTGTATTGACATTTGCAGACCAAGCTCTTTCCTCTTTGCAATGTTATTCTCATTGCATAGTTTTACAAAATTCGAATAAAGCGAAGCAATCGCACTAGTCAGAAAAATTTACGAACTCACTACAGACAACAGATCGACACCTAGGCTAGGTGACCTAGCAAGGATAAGGTGTGAGTGAGTGGGTGAATTGAACGATCATTGTGTGAACCCAAGGTTTGGGCAAACATTTGAAAAGTGTAAAAAAAACACAAAAAAATACCTTTCCTTCTTTATCTTTTTTACATTACAGACATTGAGCAAAGAGCAGAACATGAAAAAAAGTTCTGGCGAACAACACCTAATGGCGTGATAGGGTGATGACGAGTGTGTGTATTTCCTAGACGAAAATCGCTTCCCCAAAATAAGTGCTTTCACCAGTTTTCTCTCATTGCCCTCCTTGAACAACTTGAGCAAACTTGAAGGTAAAAACTCCTTGTTGACAACTGAATCTTAAAATAAATATATAGTCTTGTTCAATTGGAGGTTCGCAGATCAAATGCACAATCAAGATGAAAGTTATCCAAAATTTGCATACCAAAACATCATCCGATAATACGGAAAAATATTGGACCGGGCACATTTTGGCACAAACAGAGACAAAAGGAGAAAGTTAATTGGAGTCGCAGGCATTATATTCCCAATTTCACCTCCACTGACTTCACTTTCTTTTTGGTAGCAGGAACCAAAACGACCGATCACAAGCATTGTTCCAGCCAATGCACACAAATCCAAGCGAAGGGGGCAAACAGGGAACGGAGGATTTCCCATGGACGTACCAAAAGTGAACCTGGATACCTTTCGCTGCGATGAGAAGAGAGGCTGACAATTCTGTGGGTGCTCCCACCCGAAATTCTTTTTCTTCTCAAATTCTGGAGGACAGATCGATCTCTGAAGCGAGTTGATTTTCTATTATTTCTCTCCATGACCCGAAACCCTTTGTCTGCTGCTTCTCCTCTCTTTCAAAACAAAGTCTCAATTTCGTCCAGGTAAATAAAACTGAGAGCAATGGGGAGCAACCCGTCGTCTAGTGCTATGCCACATCATCACGAACTATTCAAACTACTATACGATACAATTTTTATAACAAATTGCAAATTACTTACGAAACAAGGACGATGTTTGCTACGAGAGCTTAGAGGAATACCACATTTACATTTTGTTCAAACATAAACTCGCAAATCCTTCTTTTCAACTGTACAAGTCTTCAAAGGAAGGAAGGAAATGTATTCATTAAAATACGAAAATATCTCCGAATAAAACTGAGGATTCAACAAACTAACTACAAGTTTTCCAACAAATTGAAGAAAATGGGGAGATGAAGGAAAATCAGTTTCAAACCAAACAACTTCATTTGCTGGCCAGCAAATATTTCCGAGTTTATTAACACATCAGCAAAAAATTTCCAACATCCTCCTCATGTTCAATCTATGCAATGTGGCGGATCTGGATCAACTCATCTTATCGATTTCTGATTTCGACACACGACTTTCTTCCGAGAAGCGAAAAGAAAGGAAAGTCGCCTGCGACCCATCCAAGAGACAAGATTATACGGGTGCCTTCTTCTCTTCTATACCCTTCTCCACACTGCCTCGAGTGAAGTGAAGGCAGATAGGACCTGATAAATTATTCACTAACATCAATTCCACATCAAACAATTTTCAAAGTGGTTGGCTCTACCGCATGAGCATCGGAGTCGTAAACCCGCACAAGACACAATGCACTGCGATACAAGGAGGAAGGTGTGGATGAAGTCGTCCTCGATCCATCTCCTTTCACATGCTGTTTCATAATGGAGAGAGCGGTTGCTTGGAGGAGAAACCTGAGCAGATCTCATCAACAACCTCCTGATTCATATAATCCCTTCCGGAGAAGCCTTGAAAATCTCGGGACAGTCAGCCCACCAGTCCCGACAGTCCCTGGATAAATAAAATTCTCGCTCAAAGTACGATGCAGTGCTCCGTCACACACGTAGGTAACCAACCATCTAAATACTCCCACCGCTACCTCCTTGTCATCGTCACTTTCTCCATGCACCGTCGTTATTGTTTCCGCAATTCGTTCCGTACTCGGAAGCTAAATTATTTCGCAGCTTTCGCAACAAGAATGCAGCTGGACGAGGTATGGTAAAAATGATGCTGGAGAAAGCATGCACAAATGGAGTGAGTGACGACGACACCGATGATGAGCAGCAAGATTTCCCAAGTCTACCTCTTTCCTTTCCCCGTGTAAATAAGTGAGAGCTGTAGACTCACGGTTCGTCCTACACACAAGTCCAAAATGGTAGAATGCTGTATACAAGAACAAGTAAGCGAGAAATGAGAATAAATAAAATCTGCTTTGGCAATTGCGTTGGTGTGCAAAGTAAACCTCGCTCTCTTGTCTCTGCATTATTCTAATCATTAGCAAGCAGCAATGTGACAGGAATCAAATCTCTTTCAATTCCCGAACGTAAACCTCACCACCGTCGAATCTAGTTAAACCTATAGTGCAACCTTGAATAGCCCGAGCCAGTCAATTTTTTCGCATCTTTTTAATTTAGCAAACCACCGAAAAAGTTCTAATTGTCCCTTTACCTATATATATTTATTTTGCTATAGTGTTAAAAAAACGTCGATGACCCCTGATCGGTTCCCCCGGTCAAAACATGTCTTCCAATTAGATTGTACTGTGAGGAAGAGTATTTAAGTATTTTATTTGGAGAAAGTAGTTGAGGGGCGATTTGAGTCGCCATAACGATAATTCTGGCACGGGGTATAAAACTCACTGCATGCACAAAAATCAGTCAGTGTGTCGTGAGAGCTGCTTGGAGAAGGAAGTAGAAGAAAGAAGTAGAAGCATAAATAAACAGAAGAAATAAGAAGCAGAAGAAGAAAAAGGTTAAAGGGTACGTTTTAGGGCACTGTAGAGTCAACTTTACAGGTAATGTGTTAGAAGAGTCAACTCTTCAACACCAAAAGGTTTCTTTTTTCGTGTCACGAGAAGTGACAATTTGATGTATGGGGTCAAGTTAGTAATTTTATTTATTGGGTCAAGTCAGCCATCTTCTCACTCCTCCCTTCAAGCCACATAGTTATTTATTTGGGGAATAAATACTCGGGGGTTTGTTAATTGTTAAACTATGTTGTGGTGTCATATTTATTTTAAGTTAATGAGTTGTCAAATGGTCCGTAGAGTAATTTTCTAAGCACAAAACATTATTATAATAGCAGTAAAGAACCCGGGTAGTGCGTTGGATACGCAAAAGTGTCGTAATTAGTCAGGAAGGCATAATTCGTCACAGTACGTACACAAATTTGTGGCAAATTTCAGTCTTCTTACGATTAGACTATTTTGGAAAATAAGTGGAGACAAATAGACAGACAGACATAACGGTTTTATAAGCCCTGGCTCCGGCTAAAAATAAAAACTGTGTTTCTCTCTCTAACATCAAATAAATTCCCCAGCTTCCACTTTCTCCGCTGGCATGTGAGCTCGCATTTAATTTACAGCTTACAATTTTGAGCCTGCCCTACAAAACCAACAACTAAAACCTTGCCACGAAGAATAGTAATGACGAAGCAATATTGCATTTATCAGCCTAAAATGCAATATGTAATTCAAGCTCTCGGCCCCATGCGCTCAACAAACAATGCTTTTTTCTCCACCTGGACAGTAATGCACACACGAAACAGGACAACGCCTGCATTTTTATTGCTCTTGTGGAGAAAGCCTGCACGACGGGTGGGTCCATGGTCAATTTCTGGTCATCATAACGAGTACGCGATGCATTAAGCAGAGAGTGGTGGACTGAGCGTGGAGAGTGGACATAGAATTTGAGCAAAATTGGGAAACGCGACAGAATTACGAAACAGCTCAAAGAAGGAAATAATGAATTGATGGATGAGTCGTCAAAAAAGTAGAAGACGAATCAAAGAAATCTGAGACGACCCACAAGCTTAACAAAAAGAGAGGAAAGCTTCACACAATCTCATTTTCATCGATTGACAACCAATATAGATGGTCAGCAAGAGAGAGAAAGAGAGACGAGGGGGTAATATAATACCCCCGAGTTCAGTGTCATCACATCACTATCCAAACACGGCAGCCAGAAAGATGAAATGAAATGCGGGCAGGTTGCATCCAGTTTTTTTTACTTTCTTACGAACTGGACAAGTTTGTCGCTTATGTATCTACAAACTTCCTCTACCCAAAAAATACAGACTCGAGGTGTATGCAAAATGGATCTTTACATGGAGTGAGCACCACTCTCGCAGGTGTTTCACTTTTCACACCATTTTGGAAACATGGCACGCCCCCTTAGTTCTTTTACTCATCAACACTACATCCCGTTCTAATTTTCAGGATGATGAGCATCGCAAATGGTACCACATTCGATATATGACCTCATCATCATCATCATCTCGACTTACTCGAAGCGGTTGCAGCTCTCTCCTTCGCATCCTTTCATTTCTAGCTTTGGTCACAAATGCATCAAGCAAAAATCATTACCCAACCATGTATATTGGCGAGAAAAGCTTAATAATAATCATGTGGTCTCGTTTACCCGCAACACAATGATCTTTAGGCATGTTGGTAATATGAATCTTTCGAAGCGACTGTGGTGTAGGATGCATATGCGAAAGGCGAGCGATTTCTACCCCAACTGCACCACCCATTTCCCATCTTTCTCTTCTGATACTTTCTCCAGATAGAAAAGGAGCAGCATGTGCGATCAATGGGCTGTGACGCAGCTCATATCCTCATATTCCTCTCTTCCTCCACATACCACCATTTCGCCTGTGCACAAGTGCGAGCATTTGCGAGAAAAGAACAAACGAAACCACCAGACATGCATGCACACACTTCTACGTGTCCACAAAGTGGCCGTTATTGAGTCGTCGTCGTCGTGAAGCCAAACTCTCTTCGTACAGAAAAATAATTAATTCACGAATCTAATGGAGAACCATCCACCCCTAGGGTTACACAGGTATGAACTAGCTGCTGCACTGTAATTAATTAGAATTTCACTTAATTGCATTGCGTATAGTCCATCGTTGATGGTTGTTTACTCAGTTGTCTAGCTAATGCTTGCACGGTCGTGGTGGGAAAGAGGAACTAATTGGGTCGCCCTGGATGACTGTCTGTCTGTTCAAAGTTAGACCTTGGCTGATGAAACAGGTATGCATGTACTACTGCCGAATGACTTTCTCCAACCTGCTCCTCATACGGTACTTTCCCCACTCAACACGAGTTTATGACTTCGCTTCATGGCTAATTGACTCCCGCCAGGGCTCGTCATTAAGTAACTACTACCAACAAAACTTCCTGTCCTTCCTTCCACTCCCCCCGTCAAGATGGATGATCCTGTCAGCAGCAACTCTGCCAAGAAATATTCCGACCTCCGTCGTACCAGAAGAATCCACCAAGCAAACTGCTACATTTTCCCATCTTGCCCAAGAAACTTTTCATAAATGACCCCATCATTCTTCCTCCTGCCATCCACTCCTCCCAGTTTGCCTAATTACGCACGTGATCTGTTCTCAACAACAACTGAGCATGAATTATGCATATGCGTAGCCGTCTTACGCTCACCAGATATACCAACAGAGATTGTGATGACCTTACTTACCCCGAAGGCAGAATAGCGTTTGGACTTGCGATTGTCCTTGGAAAGGAAGACTTCGGACTTGGGTCTTGGAGGTCGTCGGCCCTGGCGTAGAATCACCTGTGGCTCCTCCTTCTCATCAACGGGACTGCTATCATCGTCCAGTAGCTTGGAGTCACTGGAGACGGAGAGTTGTCGGGAGACGGGGGGAAGAGGTTCTTGGCTGCAGCCATTTGTTTGATGCCAATCTGTAACAGAAAGAGAAAGTCCGATAAATTAAAAATGCCATCAACACAGCGATATCACCAGCTGCGCTATTTTATCTCCACCACTAACAAAAACCACAGGTTGGAAATAGTCAATTCAGCAAGAAAGATATAAGTTGGGAGCGGTGAAAGAGATAGCAAAAGAAAAGGGGGTCCGCTTATTGTCTCTTTTTCTGAAAGAGTCAAGTGGGCTCTCCAAGATCAAAGGAAACTGTTGAGAAAGAAGAGGATAGAGTTAAATGAAAACGCTTAAAACTCTGAGCTCATCGCTTCCAGATCATCAAACAACACGGCACTCGAGTGCGAAGGAGGACTGCACTACAGTTGATTGTTATTACGCAATTATTTAGCTTCTTTCTCTGCATTCTGTCCATTAGAATCCTCTCAGACAGGGACTCATAATAAGTATTTCTTATTACTTATGTAGCGAGCTTTGGCAGTACTCCACAGTACACAATTCTACATATCCATTGGATCATATCCAATATCATCATTGTGTCATACTTGCTTATATAAAATCTAAACCAGTAACAGCACTCCCGTTCCCTTACACGTTACATATATCTGTACTACTATTCATTTTCGGAAGTCAAAATGGCCTTCAAAATGCAGTGCCAAGTGCATAGTCTGCAACCAATTGACATTACGTTCAAGGCACTCAGACATTCCTCCTCCAAATATACTATACATATGCATAATACATACTACACACATGAGTTGGCTAGGTAGGTTGTGTGGTGTAGTTAGCAATAAAATAAAGCGGAAGAGGCATTTGGGCAACCCATTTGTGTCAAGATGTGTTTTTTCACATTGAAACGAAATACATATGCAAGAGAAAGAGGTTGACAACGATGTTACCCTTTCGCTCTCCATCATGTGTGGGGAATAAAAACTGCATCCAACATAACTTTTGTGGTTGGGGCGGACGATCTTTTACCGTCCTCCTCTTTAATATTAGCATGGAAATTGCCACTTGCCACGTTCTAACGGAGATCTGCCAGGTGGCGAACTAATCCATATTCATCCGATGTTCTTCCAATTCACGAGCAAAGTCAGACCTTGACAATGCCCTCCTTGCAATATGTGCAATGCTATATCCCACTAATCATCTCGACAGTGATGGAAAGTCCTACCGAAGAACAAGCTGCTTCATGCTTGAATTCACAAAAAATCAGAAATGTTTACAATAAATTCTAAATAAATTCCATGAATCAACCATTCATGGAAAGCAAGCGGAGTCTATTTGAGCCTACCACGCCTAGACAACAAGATGGGTTACAGCATTTACTCCGTTCTGCTGTCAGTTGCTGCACTAACTGACTGACAGCTCGAAATGCAATAAAGTTCATCCAACACAACATACTAGTTCCACAGCCCTAGCGATGAATTTGAATCCGTTTTTTCTCTCCTCCCTCCGCACATGCACTAATTGCCTTGAGGCGTAATTGATAATTAATTATCTATGTGTATTCACCCACAACTAATCTGTATTTCCACGTCTCCTCCGGGTATCTGGGACCACAAGAACGGCAGGGTAGTCAGAATACTAGCGAAGCGATGATCAGCACATCATCAAGCAAATCCTGCCTGGCAATGAAAGGAAAGAGGACGTGTAACACCCGAACGTCAAAGCTGTCGGATCGGATTTAGGTGAGCCGGAGAGATAAATGGAAATTTTAATGAGGAAACACGAGTCCAACCCAACCCTTCCTCGACGTCAAAAAGTTCAACATATCATTTCGTCATGGTGCACAAATAACGTTCCAACCTAGCGTTACTTTTTGTTTCGTTGTTGGTAATTATGTATGAAAGCAAGCATATATTCAGGTTCATCATCATCAAAGTGATGAGTTGATGAGACAAAGAATCTGCTTTCACTACTTTCCAGCGAGTATTATTTCCGCTGCAAAGGGTATACTTATATGTATTTGGGCAAAAAAACAACAACGCCAGGCTAGAATTAGCTTCAACTTTGTTTTGAAATTCCACCTACACACTAATTTTCAAATTAAAACGGTCTGGGAAATAACACACTCTGAAAGAAGGTGCAATTAGCGGATTTGTGTGCTCGCGAGATTATAGTGACAAAATAATGTTACAAGATTCTGATTTTGGTATACGGCGGACACAAAACTGCTCATCTTATCAATTCACAATAGTACAATTACACTATTACACAGTAATGATAATCATGGAGCCTAAAAAATAAGACTACAAAAAGACTCCTCCTTTCAGAACCCTTATTCGTATCGTACTACATCGCACATCCCTCATCATTCTAGGAGAAGCAGCATAGTAAATAATCCGATTACGAAAATAAATTCAAAACTTTTCCTGAATCAGTATCGTTACAGAAAGCTCAGATTATGCTCAAAATATTTCCCCATTAACCGAATTTAAATTGGAATTGCATGTATCTAACTACGTCATTCTCGGCTAGCCTGAATCTAAATGATATTATGCTCAATATTCGCAATAAAAAATGAAAAATAAATTGAATTTCATGAACGGGGTGATAATATCTGAATAAATCTAACCTATTCTCGACAGCAGTGCACAAAGTTAGATATATTGCTTTGTACGCCAACAGACTACAAAATTTCGTCACTGCCACCCACAAAACCAAATTCTTGGCGAATCGCGAATTCCATGTGAGATCAGAGGAGTTTTAAAAAGTGGTGTCGTGGAAGTTTTCCGCTTATCCTCTACTCCTTGGTCAGACAGAAACAAAAACAAGTTATTACGACAACTTTTATTTTGCTACACCAAGAGTTGGAAATGCTAATGGCCCATTTCGGATTCACTTTGGCTCCTTGTTTGTCTCCGGAGGGAACAACATCAGTATTCACTAGTTCACATACCGATTTTTAAACAAGAAACGACTTCCATGCGGCGAGAGTAAAAGAAAAACTGCTAAATTCAATTATTATGTGACAATTGAAACATTGTGAGATCGAGATAACTTCCCTATGTACGACAAATTGAGTCTCCTCCTAACAAAGCATATGGAACATAGTCTTTCCATACATGTGTGTGGAGCTTAATTATTCAAATGTGCGAACCCATTCGTGTGAGCAGTAAAATAAATGAAGTAGAACGAGAATCACAACGGGGAGGAGATTACGTACGTAAAAGATGTTGAAGAAGCAAAAATAAATCGGCTCCTGCAATCATTGACATCCGATGAGTTTCTATCTCGCGTCGGTCCCCATCTTCTCCACACTCCTCCTCTAATCAACAATCAGCAAGCAAATTGTGCTCAAATTGGATGCACATTTAATAACAGCTTCAGCATGCAGTACATGCATATGCACACGCTATGTACATAAGCGACTCATCCTTCGCTGGTGGATGAGGAAATGGGTAACGGAAGTTCAGAAAGTACAGTAATTTCCATAAGAATAACCGTTCGCCTCAGTTTCCCCTCATCTCCATCGAGTTCATTACTAATCGCCTAAGGTTGCATAAATGTCATATGTACGTACGTATGTACGCACGAACAAATTAAGAAAATCTTCAGAAAATTATTTGGCTGGCAATGAATTAGAGAACAGCCGAACATACCAATAACTTCTCCGGGGTAAATAATGCTTGTGAAAGGAGAATTTTGTCATAAGATAAGCACTCGATATCTCCTCTCGATACAACAGTTGACTGCTGTCGTCGGTCTGACTGGTGCATGGCGGATAGAAAACTTTAGTTTCCTTCATCAGAAAGAGGAGAAATCTATCCATCGGAAAGAATAAAGTTTTGCCCTTCACCAATATTATCACGTTGACGTATCCCATTCTCACGAGTTTGAGTGAGGCCATAAGAAGCACGAATACAGAGAGAAAGAGAGTAAGCACGAGTGAGAGAGAAGAGAACCCATTAAGAAACTTGAGATAACCGGAAGCACTTTGCTCCAGGCATGGAAACATTATTGGCACCCTCCAACCGCCGTCCAAAATTCAACATTTCTGACTGGGAGCAAAATGTCACAACCTACCGAATCCCCAACTTCACCTTCACTCACTCAAGTCGCAAAAAATAAGAGAACCCAAGAATCTCATCAAGTTTGATCATGCAGACTGGGTGAAAGTTTTATTAGGGGACTTAATAAATCAGGGAATTGTAGAGATCCAAAGTAAATGAGTTTTTAAGAATTACGCAACACACACTCTCCTTCCCAGGGGTGAACCAACCAGAAAAAAAGGCTTAATTTTTTTCATTCCTCTTTTCCAGCGTGTGTGCCATTACTGCCATCCTGGTGTCGAGATTGAGCTGGAGGCAAGACAAAACGTTGGTCGGCTGACAATGAGATGTGAACCTCATTTCAATTTCATGTCTCACCGACGATTCCTACCAATCCTCATTCAAATGTGCTCCCATCCACTAATTCATTTAGTACCTCCAGGCCTCCAGACAAGGATTTGGAGGGGCAAGTTGTGGCAGATTGTGGAAGAAATAAAGTGTTCGTTTTTGGCATGATGATGCAGGTGAACAATTAAATTATGTTGCATTTATTATGCGACTTTTCGAAATAATCAAACAAAGTCAGCCAACATTATTTGACAAAACTTCTTAACCAAGTGAGAATGGGTCGCTTAAAAAAGTCTCCACACCGCAGCCACCACCAACCGCATATGTGCATTTAGAAATCACTGATAGACGGTTAAAGTTTCAATTTGGTAGAAATAAATCGTTCCCTCTACACACTGACATGGCCATCCGCTCGAGATCGTTTTTGACCAGCCCTGACCCTCGACTTTGACTCGTGGCCAAACTCTGACAAAGTGGATTTGACATGGCACGAAGCTAAAATGGATAACTAACTGATGCGGTCATCTCACGAATGATCTCCTCGATCCCTCCACATCTTCATCACCTCATCCTCATCCGCCCCCTGTTTGGAGAGATTTACTCACCGTTGTCATCTTCCAATATCATTTCACATCAAACATTCGCAGTTGTTGCCACTCCCTCTCTGCAACTTGTGTAGCATTTTTATTTATTTTCATTTGTCCATCATTCCAACAAAGACGAACTGACACGAAAGAAATAAGCTGCATAAAATGAAACAAACTGCAATCTCCTACTCAGAACAAACTCATAACAGACATAAAACCATCTTCCTCCGTTATATGAATTCCGCCAGTGTCACTGACTGTGAAATGCTCAACGTTCTTTGGAGAATAGAATGTCAATAAAAGCTGCGAGAACCCGCCCGCACTCATACCGCCGCCACCCATACTGTTACGTTTTGTGGCTGAGCGTCCATTGTCCACTGGCGTTGGACAAACAAAACCCTGCCTGTGAGAAAATAAAAAGCTCAGGAGCTAATATCCACGACTGCCGACGGGAGTGACTACTTTCTCCAGACGGATCTACCACTGGCAAACAGAGAGCGAAGGAACGATGGAGAAAGCAGCAGCCAGTTTTTATTATTTCCTCAGTCGCACCACCAGTTTGAGATGGTGCATGAGGGAGAAATCGATCAAGGATTCATGTCATACGCTTCTTCTCAACTGCCTGGTTTCCCATCTTATGATTTTTATGTTAATGTTATGTCTTCCAGCTTTAATAGTGCGAGTCTGCTAGAAAGCTGAAGCTCATGTGTGTGGTGAAGGTGCTAAGAGAGAAAGTGACAGTGATTCACGACTCCTCAACGAGATGAAATCCTGTATGATGGGAACGGAATGATGGCATCATTCCTTCCACCTCCACCGCACTGCTTGGCGGAGAAAAGAAGGTTAAACTTAAAAACCAGAAAAACCCAGTTCGCAAACAACAAGACAATTTTACGACTTTCTGTTCTTACTACGCATATGCCCACACACATACATGTATGTATTCTTGTTGCTGCAAGCAAAGGAGTTAATTTCAGTGCATATATGCGGTTCTTACTTCTTGGTTGCGGTGGCTTTGTTGGAATGTAGCATGTTAAGAACAACTACATACATGAGCATTAAAATAACTAACTATGTATGTACCAGTAGTAATATGCTTCTACGCAATCACCGTTGTTAATTGCAACGCTGAATATTGCAACGCTGAGAAGCAATTTCTCTATACGCGACCACGGTATATTCTAGAAGGGCAGTAGGAATGAGAGGTCGTCACCGCTAAGCGATAAATTAAGTGGTCCACTCGATCATAAATCATGTTCTCCAAGTAATTTGTTCTAAAGCTACATACACATAGCAAGTCTTGCACAAGAGGCTACAGACAAGAAGAGAAAGTTTTAAGGGAAAATTAGCATATTTCCATTACTTTCTTCAATAAACGCAAACCCATACCTACGCAAGTTGGAGGTTATGACACTATATTTTATGGACTAATGATAAGACAGACCACGTCCGCCCTCAAATCCAACCATCATGTACACACGAATGTCACCTACAACAATTTTCTACTATTGGAAACTATGCCAATTCGTCACTTATATTCTCCAAGAAGCTCCACCAGAGTGAACACGCGTGGATCAATTTGCTCTACCGAGACAGATACAAATGTCACGCTTAAAGGAACTAGCTCTAACAAAAAACAACAAACGGGATGAGGATAGAAAGTCATCGTAAGTTAGGAGGCGTCCTTCATCTGCCACAAACATTTTCAAAACCAGCCCCCTCCCCCCCCCCAAAAAAAAATAATGCAACCTCCATCTTTCACTCTCCATCTACTTGACAGGGAGAAATATTTTATTTCTGAGTGTAGTGTAGGGCATTCCCTCAAAGAATTCTTTCGACTTTCTCCTTCCTCCTCCTGAAGATACATCATATTATGGAAAGTGTCCTCATATCCACGCAGAAAAAAACTTAATGTATGCACCCATTCATCCACCTGTCCAACGAGGTAGTCGATGGTGCAACTTTGAGGCTCCCACCAACTTATTTGTGACATAAGGATGGGGAAAGTTGTTGGGCTCGATGCATTCACTTCACACTTTTGTATTATTCATGAGTCCGAGGTGGTAGAAAAGTCAAAAGTCAACCAACCACACTTCGTGGAATGAAAAACATCCAAAGCACGCGCAAAGGAAGTTTCGAAAACAAGGGAAAAGGTGAGAAAACGTTGGCGCCGCCACTATTACGACTATGTCTAGACCACAAACGCATCTCGAGTCAACTGCCTATGTATAATAGAACCAGCTTCTGTTTTTTCTCTAAATTACTCATGTACAACAAAGTGCGTGAATGAAGGACAACTATAACAGCCAGAAAAACGAGAATGCTTCCGACACGGAGGGGCAAGAAGAGAAGCAAAGGACGAGTCCCACAGGGAAACAATTTGTTCTCTCTTTTCCTTTCTACCAAAAATGCATTATTTACTTGATTGTTTGTCTTTCTGCTCCTCTCAAGCCAGCAACACATTCACAAGCCGAACCCAAAGATATATATATCGTTCAGAATTATAAGTGGGGTGCACGCACAATGAATAAAATCTTCCTCTCACTCCCACTAATAACGGGGACGGAAAAAGATCACAACTTCTTCTTTTGACAAATCGACATGTCACATCTCTATTTCAGATCCATTCTTTTACAAACGCTTTCAAAAAACTTTTAAAAGTTAAGGAAAAGCTTTTAAAATACCCAAAGTTTTCAGCCTTCTAACTTTACTTTTCATCAGTGATGGTACTGAATGGGCGCATGAATTCCCATTTCAGCCAAGACGAAACTCTTGCTATTAAAGGAAGCGAAAGTGAGATTCAAAGTCCGAAATGAAATAAAGGCAATTCTTTATCTTTAACTTTCACAACGTTTCAACAGTTAACTCCAGCGATACGGCTGGCTGGTGAAACAATGAGATGATTTATTCAATAGATTTGCTTGCTCCGAGTAAATCCTCTTCCAGTCGGACACAAATTACTTATTTCACTTAGAAATGGGCCCTGTTATTTCTCACATTTTTCCAACGGAGCAGAATAACAGACGTCTTAATTCACGGAAATGGACCAATTTAAATACAAAGAATCCGCTCACGGAGAAGAGCGGAGTTGGAAAGCAGTGCAAGTGTGGTAGGTGGCATAATACAACTAATTCATGAAATTCTTGCACTTCGTCTGAAGCCTCCATGGAGGCCATCTCCTATTCTTACAACATTGGATGAGGCTCTTTTGGAAGCTCTACTTGTTCTTTACTTACTCCTGACTCTTAATTAAGGAGCTAGAACAAGAAAAGGATCGAGGTTTACTCTGACTTTAACTGGCAATAACCACACTGCGAAAATATCTGCAAGCGGGACATAAATAAGTTGTGAAATCTTGCCACACTACAACACAACGTATGCGAGAAGAGCGGAAGTATAGGCCATAAAATAACACCCACGACTTCCGTCGTAATTTTGAATATTCATAGTTCTCTCTGCTGCTTAGCAAATGAGGGTTTTTGGTTATGGTTATTGGAGCTAAAAACAAGCAGAGAGAGATTGTGAGAGGAAAATGCTTACCAATTCTGGCATCCGAGGTGCTGGAATGCTGCTTCGCTCGCAAAATGTTGCCATTAGGTTCTATCCTGTCCAGAAACTCGTCCGAGTAGCCGTTGCACCTGAACTTGTTCCCCACATCGTCCTCTTCCTTGGAAGATATTGCTGCAAATAAAAACACAAAACGAATGCAATTAAAGAAATGTTGTATGCCGATTGAATTAATACACTGAATCAATTATTATTATTACTAGAAAAGGCTAATTCATGCGATGATGATGCGCTATAAGTGAAATCATGATGGAGAAGACAATTAATTGATCTCTCTACAAATGCACATACTACTCATTCGTGGTGGTCAGGGATCAGGACGGCAGACACCATGGCCAATAAAGTTTTATTTCCTCCATTTCGTCCCACGATGTCACGTAAACAGTAAAAGGTAAAAACAGAAACGTCCATGGTTTAGACTGGAAGAGAAAGGTCTGTGTGTACACGAAGCAGACCAAATTGAGCTATCGTCTCATTCCACTGGGTCCACTATTACAGCATGGAGAAAGAACACACAATTCCTCTACGTACGTACGTGCATGCATGCCTTGGTGGTAGCAGTAACTAGTGCGTTCTTCCAACGTGCGGTCCAGAGAGACTTTTCTCGTTGTCCATGCACCGTGGAGGAAGTTCAGCAGTAGGAGCCAAAAGAAGACAAAGCCACAAACAATGCCCCCACCACTCACTTGTCTTCTTTTGGGTACAAGTCAGAAATCAAGACATATGCTTTTCCCAACTTGTGTTTTGTTGTTGTTGTGAACAAAGGGAGAGAGAGAAAGGGAGGAGAGGCCAGAGAAAAATAGTGATGGGTCTGGGGAAATATTTTATACTTCATTGTTCACACTTTTGTCATTCAACCTCTTATGCATTCAGCTGTCATATCAGAGAGCCATAAACAGAGCAAAAGCCGCTTCAGCCCTGTTTGTTTCCCCTTCCGTCGAGAGATCGCATTTCCATTTAAACTACACTATACGCCCACCATGGACGACGACTCTTAAGACAAAACATTGGGGACGACGACGATCACTTCACTTTATCTCAATTTTCCGAATAATGCCAACAACAACATGGGATAAGAAGACGCTATTATTCTTCTTCCGATGTGCTACCTAATAATAACGAGGATGATACTTCCAATCAGGAAAGATAACACCGTGTGCAGCGTATTAGCTAAGGCGAGGTGGGTGCCAAGGGAGTCTTCCAATTTCTATCGTCCATCCATTGCCATCATCATCCGACGATCCGAAAGAAAGATTGTGTTATGATGGGCCGTTGTCACGTTGTCTCCATTTCCCTCGTGGATACCAAGGACAGCAGCGACGTGGGAGATAATGTCGAATAACCCACGATCCCACTGCACAGATTATACATGCCGAGCCTACAGGCAGGGCTTCTGTAGGACAATCAATAATCTTTTGATCTCTGTTAGTCAACTAGCCGCACCATACAACACGGAATTTTAGATGACGAAAATCACCTCTTGCAAAGTGCCAATTTGCACGTCCAATCCATAATTATCAAATTGGAGCGAGGCGATTGTATAGTGTTTACTATGATACGACTAAATGACTACCGGACGGAAATATAAAGGTCGTTCCCAGCTATCTTAATTGATCAGCCACACACAGCGCAAGTCGTTAAGTGCGTCAAAAGTAGTCTAATTACAAATAGTCTAATTAATGCCAGTAGACGCACAATGGGTTAAGATTCACCCGGAATATATATTACTTGATCAGCCAAATCCACAAAAATGAGTACGACATAGCCGTAGTGTATGTAGCTCTGCGACCAACCCGCCCACTGATGGGTGGAGGTAGACCGAACTTCACTCTTTTGACTCATTTTGAAAGTGGTGTAGGGCCCAATCTGGGCTGAGTGATATGACCACCACGCCAATTCCATCTCCGTTATTGCGTACATAACCGTATCAACAACAACAAGAAATATAGAGGCAGGAACAAATGACTTTCACCATGGGACTCACTCCTATTATGCCCACAGACGACCAAGCCGTCCAACTTTCTCTTGGTGGTGTTCACTCGCTCACCCACACTGCATAGTGGACAAACATTCATCTCCCTCACGTCTAACATGCATCCAACATTTCTCTCTCTATTCATCCTTTCAACTGGGAAACTTGGTTGGTTCCGTTAGGCAGTGAAATTCAGTGAATGACGTCCCACGAAGAAAGTTGTTGGAAAAGGATGAATTGCTTCCAGCTTTCGGAAGACGCAAGAGAAGTGTGGACCTCATGGATACGCATATCGTGTGATAGGATGAGGGTAGGGTAGATACAGCCGAATTGCTAAATAACTTTACACGAATGTTGGGGGCAGGTCAGCCTGATCATCGTCATTAACTATTGCAACCATATATGTCTATCGTGTTCTATCACCCTCCCACCCTTTTGCATATGTTACGAAATAATGTCGGCACCCCTAACCCAACAATTAAGCATCCAACCAACAAGAAGCGTTTCTTTAAAAACTGAAAACTTCAATCCAGGACAAGTACAAGACAACAGAGAAAGTACCAACCCACCAACTAGCCAAGGTTGTTGAGCAATACATAAATCCAGCCTGTCTGCTCCTCTGCATACAAACACCACCATCCACCATTGTCATCGTAGTAGTAGAACAGAAGATGCATCTGCCAGAGACGAGATAGACGAGACTGAGAGCGAGTGAAGCTTATTAGGAATTTAAACAGATCGATACTGTATATTTTAGGAGCGAGTCTTCCCTGAGGTGACCTCCTTAGAAAGAACACACACACACCAGGAGCCTCAACCACCTCAACGTCCATCTGCTGTTCCGGACAACTTCCTCGCAGTTTATTCCTCTGTGTCTCTTCAAATCTCCACAATTTAGAATCTCTGCCAAATAAATTACACAGATCAAGTCTCGTGTCCTGTCCTTTCACTTTCTCGTCAAGCTGTTATGAAACCAGAAACAATGCGCATTCCAAAATTCCAAACCGAGGATCATTTACACCAGTCACTCAAATAAGTATATGAAAGAAATAACTAACAATTTGTAGTATGCAGTGCATACTATGCACTTGTGCTGCACGATACTCACGTACGTAGTATTGAGAAATTGACAAACTGCACCTCAGAAACACAGCATTGCCCAAAACAGAAGACCACGTCACAAAAGGAAAACGTACTCTCATAGCTGGCAACGTGATGTGATTAGAGTTTGACACGCTTCATCAGCTAACCATGATAAATAGTGAAGCAATAATAAACTTATGGCTCACTTGATAAGGAATGTTCGTTATTTACTTCATTTTACCCCATCAACAGATTTATCACTTCAAGCTTCAACTCTCCATAGCTCAACACATCATCATTTATAACAATTACCTGCCACAATCAGTGCTGTGATGCTGTCATCGTTTTGCTCACTCCAATCTCTTAAATTTAGAAGTTATTTAGGATGTATATGTACGTAAAATGTTAATACAGATCGCTCTCAAAATTAAAAAAAAATTGAATGCAATGGGTAGAATTATATCGCAAATAAATGTACGTATAACTTGTACAGATCTGTTTGCGGAATAGATGACAAGACAGTCGCTGTTTTCTGAAAAAAAACATAACAGGCAGCAACAGGGAATGAATACATCAGGGGGAGGAGGAGATGAAGAACACAAGAAAGACAACTTTTTGGAACTCACTCGGACTTTTCCTTACCAACTTTCATTCCGTCAACAAACTATTATTTCCACAAGCAATAACCAAGACCAGTTCTCTGTCCAAAGTTTGGTATAAGATGAACTTATTTCATAATAAGTTTACTTCTCCCATATGGAACCTTGCTTATCTGCACAGGGTCTGGGCTCTCTAGCCATAATAATAATATCTCCAGTTCAATTCATCAATATCAGTTCCAGTCAAATCTAACCTTGCCGTGTCTTGTCGTGAACGGCCAAACAGTTCTTTCATTTTCACCAATAAGCTCCACAGCTTACGGGAAAAACTCAATGATCACGCAGCAGCAGACAAACGCACAATTAATTTAGCAGCAATCGTTTTCATTCCAACCTGCCAACTCCAATAAAATGTTGCCTTTCTTATCGATACAAGAAACAAAAAAGAACTAAAATCTCTGAGATTGGGAAAAACTTTGCTCACCGACACGAGCAGAATAACCCTCCAAATCTCTAAAAAAAACTAATCAAAGTAAGGGAATCAAAGTGTATTTCGCAAGACTGATCGTCTCTCTCCTTTTTTATACTTCCCAGCACGAACCATGCAAAATGACTCAATGTGATGTCACCATCAAAATCATAACATGTCAAAAATACGCAACTCTTATTGCAGTCCTTACAACGCTAGGCAATCGACATTGGGGCTATTGCATGACATTCACGGATTTATCGACTACATGTGGACGAGCGAGTGGGCCCAATCTCATAATCCGTCGCATGTCCAAACCTTTTGACCCCACTGTCGAGGAACACAATCTATTTACAATCGCTTTAGTCTTGAGATGGAAAGTAAAGACATTTATCTTTAGCGAGACTATGGATGACACACACATTTCGTGATGAAATTTCAACCAATTTGGTCGTACATAGTACAAATGCACATGTATAGTTACGACCCGTTAATAGTTTACACAAACGATGTTTGCACATTATAAGGTAAATTGTCAATGTTACGAAAGAGGTCCATCCCATCAGCCTACCCACCACCGCCCTGTTCTGCTTATTGAATTGAAATTGAATTGGTCTGCTGGGTTGGAGTGACGTGTTTGTATGGACACAAGAAGAAAGGGTGGGTGGTGAAGTGAGCGGCGGGGGAACCACCAGCCAACAAGGAGAAAACTAACTCCAGCTTTCTCTCTCTGGCATTAAATCTCTATTGAATTTGCTACCCAGCCTAAATCCGCACCTGTCAACTACAAGAGGTACGTGAAAGGGTAAGTCCATCCAAATCCGACGACGACATAGAGTGCATTGCATTGGTTCAAAAAGGTTTCCAATCGTTTCAGATTTACCCTTTTACTCAACAACTAAACTGTACAACTTATTGGCACAACACGCGAGAGAGAGAGAGAGAGTCAAATCAAAAAGTCGTAGTCTGTTTGAATTTAAATTTCATCTCA